CTATGTAATAAGACTCTGAGCCTTATTTTTGTTCCTCTATTTTATTTTGATGAATACAAATGTTTTGGGAGGTCTCTGCAGATGATGTTTTATTCCAACCTTATTTTTTCTGATTTAGTATGAAATGTAGTCATCTTTCAAAATGGTTTGGTAGTAAGCCTAAATGACAGCTTAGCTATTTGTGAACTAGTTTAAGAAAGGGAATAACTCTCTGCCCTCATTTGCCTCAGGGTTGAGAATGTCTTCAGCTAGCAGCAATAAATATTAGAACCCACAGAACCACTACTAATAGAGGAGGTCTTGTTCTTAAAATCCTAGTTTAGATTCTTACCTAGCCCCATTTTTCTGCAACTCTGAACTGTGTTCTAGTAATTATTGTAATATAATTTTTCTTATTTCATTTTTCAGACACCTTGTGCCAGACCTTTAAGGAGCTTCATTTTGAGACTGTACTTTTCCAAAATTACACAGCAGGGGACATCAGTGAGGTTCTGCAATCCTACCAAAATACAGACCACAGTGAGAAGGACTGCTTCATCTGCTGTATCCTGTCCCATGGAGACAGGGGCATTATCTATGGCACTGATGGAAAGAAGGCCTCCATCTATGATCTGACCTCTTATTTCACTGGTTCCAATTGCCCTTCACTGGTTGGAAAACCAAAAATCTTTTTTATTCAAGCTTGTCAAGGGCAGAGCTATCACAAAGCTGTACCTGTTGAGACTGACTCAGAGAAGGACTTAGAAATAGACTCGGAATCTCAAAAGAAATATATCCCTGATGAGGCTGACTTTCTGCTGGGGATGGCTACTGTAAAAAACTGTGTATCCTACCGAGATCCTGTGAAGGGGACGTGGTATATCCAATCTCTTTGCCAGAACCTGAGGGAAAGATGTCCTCAGTAAGTTTTTCTACCCAACCCACCTCAATATTGCACTGTTTCCCTTTCTCATTTCCAGCACTATATTTTCATATTCACAACTCATTAGAAAGTACTTATCTGTCAGAGTAATATTATCTCATCAAGAAGTACCCCACGGAAGTCATTTCCACTCATCTAGCTGTGGATGAAGTAGCTATACTTCTCAGGTCAGTTGCAAAGTACAAAAGATGACTGTTAATCTTTTGAGTTTGCATATGGAAAAATGGATGATTTAGGGGTTTCCAATATAATCTCAATAGACTACTACAGTGTCAGAGCTGGAAAGGATACTGATATACATAGATTAGCTTTCTGTATTTAGGCGGAAACATGACTGAACCATCTTAACTAGTTTTCTTTTTTTTCCCAAGAAAGCAGCAACTCACTTCAATATTTAACACTCCCAAACTCTGTCAGAAAACGTCTATCTAGTCTCTAGTCAACCTCAAATCCTCTTGGTGCATTGTGGGAAGTGATAGCAAAGATCAGCAACCCCCTATGTCCACTAATTTGGCCCTCTTGGATGCCACAACGTTTTGGAAAACAGCCTTTTTATTTATGATGTGCTTCTTTTAATTAAATTAGGGTTGTATAAGTCACAGTTCCTCTGTAGGCACACCCAGCTGACAGATGAACAACAGGACTTGCCTAGCAGCCCCATGTATTCCGGTTTCTCATTATATTGGTGAGAGTTTTCCATGGCATATGAAGATCAGCTATCACATCAAAGTGTAATGTCTCATCTGTAACTCAGACCAGGAATTGTGCAGGTTCTAGCGTCACTACACAGGCAGATGAGGAGGTTGCCCAACACAATTGCTAAGCTAGCAGAGTGATAGGTAGAAATGACTTCTGTTTGCTTTAAGTTTGATTGTAGATGAATTCAAGAAGCAAGGCTGGTCGTTAGAGAGAGGATATTAGGGTAGCATCTAGGTATTTGTGTGTGTCAGGGGGCAATTAACCTAACATGTAAAGCAGAGTGAGCCACACACAGGTTAGGAGGGAAGGAAATCAAATCTGATAGTGATACTAAAGTTTCTGGTAAGTGCTGAAAGCTGAAAAGCTGGAGTAGATCTTGGTTTAGCAACTTATGGGTTCAGAGTCTGGTGTTTTAGAGAAAGAATAGTAGAACTCCTTCTGGGCACTGCAGATGACTGGGTCAATCCGGGGACAATCATGATTTTCCTCTATGTTTTTCAGAGGTGATGATATCCTTACTATCCTGACCAAAGTGAATTATGAAGTAAGCGAGAAAATTGATTGGAAGAACATGGGGAAACAGATGCCTCAGCCTATTTTCACACTAAGGAAAAAACTCTTTTTCCCTCCTAATTAATGTCACCTCAATGTTCAACACTTTATTTATTAATTAATAACTGTTACCGTTTTTTACTTTTTGGGGGGATTATGAAGGAAACTTAGAAAAGAACCATTTATTTTATGAATCTTTTATGAATGTAAAATCTTTGATTTGATTTTGCAACATCAGCATTATTAAACATATACAATATGATATTATTTTGTTTGTACTTTTTGTTGTTGTTGTTCATGGGGCTTGAACTCTGGGCCTGGGCTCTGTCCCTCAGCTCTTCAGCTCAGGGTAAGCGCTCTACCACTTGAGCCACAGCACCACTTCTGGTTTTTCTGGTGGTTAATTGGAGATAAGAGTCTCACAGACTTTCCTTCCCTGGATGGCTTTGAACCAATCCTCAGATCTCAGCCTCCTGAGTAGCCAGGATTACAGGTATGAGCCACCGGCACCCGGCTGTTTGTACTTTTGATGATGTATAACTTGATAGGCAGACAATAGAAACAGCCACAAGAACTGGCATTCCCCCTGAGTGAAAGATTAAATCTATTTTTTTAAATCAAGATTGAAGCAAGTGCTGTTTGGCTCATACCTGGAATCCTAGCTCCCCAGGAGCCTGAGATCTGAGGATCACAGTGCAAAGCCAGCTCAAAGTCCATGAGACTAACTACCAGAAAACCAGAAGTGGTAATGTGGCACAAAGTGATATAGCACTAGACTTGAGCACAAAAGCTCAGGGAGAGTGCCAAGGCCCAGAGTTCAAGCCCCATGACCAACAAAAAGAAAGAAAGAAAGAAAGAAAGAAAGAAAGAAAGAAAGAAAGAAAGAAAGAAAGAAAGAAAGAAAGAAAGAAAAAAGAAGGAAGAAAGAGAAAGAAAGAAAGAAGGAAGGAAGGAAGGAAGGAAGGAAGGAAGGGAAAGGAAGGAAGAAAGGGAAGGAAGGAAGGAAGGAAAGGAAGGAAGGAAGAAGAGAGAGGGGAGGGAGGGAGGGAAGTAGGAAGCAAGGAAGGAAGGAAGGAAGGAAAGGTTTTTCTGAGTAGCTCTAAATATGGACTGAAACAAAATAATTACCTTCAGTGATATCTCAGAATGTCAATATTCTCATAGTACTTACATTTTAGACTAGTGCTTCTGAACTTTATAAATAGCCTATTTGGAATGCTCACTAATTACTTCTCAATGTTCATAGACTACATGATCATATTGGAGCTTAAGACTGTACTGTTTTAAAAAATAGCATGTAAAGTAACAAATTGTGATTTGTCTATATAATGTTACTCAGCAATAACAAAGAACAAACTTGATATGTCCCAGAATGTGAATAAACTTTAAAGTCATCACACACACACACACACACACACACACACACACACACACACACACACACACACACAGCACACAGAGAACACACTATATGATTCCATTTTCTTAAAATTCTAGGAAAGACAACTAGATCTATAATGTCCCTTGCTTGAGAACAGGTTGGAAAAAAAGGTTAAATTACAAAGTAAAACAGGAAACTTTGGTAGTATTGGAAACTACTGTCTTGATTACAATGATGGTTTCACATGTGTGTATTATATCAAAACTGACCAAATGTGATATTCAAGTATTCATGGTTTAGTGTATTTCAATTAATCTTTAATAAAGTTTTTAAAAGATTTTTTTTTGCCAATCCTGGGGCTTGAACTCAGGGCCTGAGCACTGTCCCTGAGCTTCTTTTGCTCAAGGCTAATGCTATATCACTTTGTGCCACTTCTGGTTTTCTGGTAGTTAGTCTCATACTGTTTAGTTAGTCTCATATACTGTATATGTGATACTGAGGAATCGAACCCAGGGCTTCATGCATGGTATAGTCAAGTACTCTACCACTAATCCATATTCCCATCCCCCTTAAAAGATTTTTTAAAAAAAGTTATTAGGCCATAACTGGGCACCAGTTGCTCATGTATGTAATAGTAGATACTTGACCTGAAGATCTCAGTTCCAAACCAGCTGGTGCAAGAAAGGCTGTGGGACTCTTATCTCCAGTTAACCAAAGTGGTAGAGTGCTAGCCCTGGGCAAAAGAAGCTCAGGGACAGTGCCCACTGGGGTTTAAACCCCAGTCCCAGCAGAAAAAGAAAGAAATCAAGTTGCTTTATGAGTTATTTCTGTCACCAAACTCAACCCGCTGTGCATTTATACATACTTCTTTTCTTTATGAGAGTGTTTATAACATATATACTTCTGTATCAGCCCCAAGAGGTTGTGTTTTTATTAGTCATGCTGTTCTCTTTTCATTGGATTATATATACCTTTTCTTTCTGTAACAACTCATTCTTTAGGCATTAAGAATCTTAAAACAGGAAAAAAAATTATAATTTTACTTAACTATTCTCTGGCGATTCTTTTTGTGTTTGTGTTGACTTCATTTATGTTGTTTTGTTGTTATTGTTTTGTTACTGGGTTTTGTTTTGGCTTTGTTTTTGCCAATGGCATTTCACAAGTAGAAAAGGTTCAGGTCTCTGACATTGGTTATCAACGTTTAAGAAGTGAAAGCTACCATCTAATGACCAGAATATTTTCTTTTGAAAAATTAGAATGTCTCAGAACATTGGTCTCAGGCAATTGAGGGACAACAGGATGCAAGAAGGTAGCTTCATTGGCTGGAGTCAGGCTCTGAGTTTGCTGGTCCCCTCCCTGCCCCCATCCAATCTCTATTCAGGATTCTGCCAGTGATCCTTTATCACTGTGCCTCCTTTCCTTGTCTGCCCTATGGGCAAATGCCCACAGGGTAATGATTGGAGAAAAGATGCGAATCATCAGATGTTCCTCTTTAAGTCATTGGGGAGGCCACATGGTTGGGAGCTGGGAAAGTGTAGGCATATATTTCAGAGAGAAAAAAAAGGTCTGTAATAAAAGCAATAAATTATCTACCTTATTAGGGAAATGCTCCAGGGTGACCTAATGTACAGTTCAAAATATACTCAACATGCAATGAAAGGAAGTCCTTCAAGAAATGTTCTAATAAAATTCATAAATGTGGGAGGGAAAATAGTATGCAGAGCAGAGAAAGCTGAGTTCCAGATACAGATAACATCAGTGTTCAGTGAAGAGTCCTGGTAATCTAGGCAACTGAGATAAGAATTCAAATTTTACAAGCCACCATGAAGAAAGACAAATTGTGAAAAAATAAAAATAGCCAGAGCAACCCAAGAACTCAACTCATCACATGCATTTCTAAAGAAAACCTCTCAGGAATTCCCTGGCGTGGTCAGGATGGTGTTCTTACCCTCTTCGGCTGTGAAGAACATCTTTGGTTTATGGTGTTTGTTTTTTGTTACTACTGTCTTCTAAGTCATAGTCACATTCAGTAGGGGCAATGGAGGCCAGCCCTTCAAATGTTCTTTCACCAATCTCTTCATTCTTGGCATTTATCTGTTCCCTACAAAATCAAAGGAAACGTCGATAATTATTCATGCAAACGTTGAAAGAATATAGAATATTTGGTGAATTATAGCTATGTGGGGGAGGAATGTAGCTTGTTTCCTTTCTGAGAGACTAGCCTTTCTCATTACTTGTAATGGTTTGAAACGTGGTGTCCAACATCATAAAACGGACTTCTCTACTGAACTGATGCAATGAGTATTGACCAAATTTTATTTTAATGATTGAAGACCTATCTTCAAGTAATAGTATAATTTTCCGATAGGAAGTGTGTTTCTTCAGGAAACAGAAGCGGCTACATCTGTGGGTAAGTCACTAGCACCAAAACCTCTGAATTCTCAGAGAAAGTATTTGAAAAAAGAACCCTCAGTCACAGGACTGAAGAAAGACAGAAATTCAGATAAATTTCCTGTGTCAATTTGCATAAAAACAGACACAAAGGTAAGAAATAAAAGTTTAGTTACCTCTCCCTTGAAACTACTTCCACGAGTCAGTCTGACTTCAGCAACTAACTGTGAGAACGGTCTCAGTACATTCTTCCCTCCAAAGAGTGGTGGTGCCTTGACCTTGATAAGGACTATCTGGCTTCTTTTTCTTTCATTTTTTGTTTTTAGTTTTCCCTTTCCCTTCCTCCCTCCCTCCCTCCCTACTTCCTTCCTTCCTTCCTTCCTTCCTTCCTTCTTTCCTTCCCTCCTTCCCTTCCTCCCATCTTTCTCTCCTTCCACACCTCTTTATCTCTCTTTCCTTTCCTTCCCTTCCCATCTCTTCCCTTCTATTTTCTTTCTTTTTTCTTTTTTGCCAGTCCTGGGGTTTCAACTCAGGGATCAGGGTCCCTGAGCTTTTTTGCTCAAGGCTAGTGTTCTATCACTTGAGGCACAGCTCCACTTCTGCTTTTTTGGTAATTAATTGGAAATAAAGAGACTCATGGACTTTCATGCCCAAGCTAGCTTCAAACCACCATCTTCAGATCTCAGATTCGTGAGTAGCTAGGATTACAAGTGTGAGCCATCAGTACCCAGCTTTGGCTTACTTTCTTAACTTTATTCCCTTTTCAAGTGTCCTCCCCAACTACTCCCAAGGGTAGGGTAGCAATAGACATACTTTAATTTAGTATTTTCTTCAATCAAGTTCTGTATTGTGTACTTATACTTTTCTTCAGCGTCAGCAAGCTTAGTCAGGAGTATTTTCTCCATATTTCCCACTGTAGCTTTCTGAAAGAGATAAATTTTAATAGTTGTCTTCCTCAGAGCCTTTTGGGGGCCGTGCTATAGGGAAAACAGCACAAAGACTTGGATTCCTCCTTAGCCGCCATCTAGCCAGGACTCACCTCTTTCTGGAGTTCCATCTGGGTTTGGTAAAGGCTTGTGTTAAGTGATTCCAAAACAAGAGCTTGTGCATGCAACTCTTCCTCTATGGTCTGTACAAGAAGAAATTATTCCAGGATAGCATGCCAATAGCTCCCTATTTATTCTCTTCTCAAGGCACTTGGACTAGAGTGCAAAACACCAACTTCAGATACTTGTTCTCTTCCACCACTCACAGCCAACCCAGGAATTCCACCCTCTCTCTGTCTCCTCCTTCCGCACCCTGACCTTCATCCTCACTGTTGCTGCTGTAAGGCTGGCCCTCACCAGAGCTCACTGGAGGATTCCAGGGGCCAACAACCATCTAGTCACCAGTCTCTGTTAAACACAATTTACAGATTCCTACTTTGTGATGCTCTAGAATCTAACATGATTAATGGCTTCAAAACTTGGGAGTGGAAAGGAGGGACAAACTGGTGGGTCAGAGGGCATCCTTAGACAAGTGAGACGATTCTGCTGACAGACTAGCTGATGGACATATGACATGATATATTAGGCAAAACTCACAAAATGTATAGCACAAAGAGCGAACCCTTGGATAAACTATGGACTTCAATTAATAATGTATCAGTACTGCTGGTCAATTGTAATTAGTCTATCACCTTAACATGTTACTAATAGGGAGAAATTATGATGACTGAGATGGAGGAATAAAGTGAATTCTTTGTACTTTTTACTCTAATTTTCCTATAAAACTATAACTGCTCTACAGGCCTACCAGTTAAACAGAATACTACTAAAGAATGAACAGAGCCTGTGTACAAGTCCTTAGAAAGCAACAGGAGAGTGGGCCCAGGCAAGGGGTCGCAGAGGGGCCAGTTTATCCCTGGGAAGATGTGGCAATCTGACAATATGGGAAGCCATCCAAAGGTTTTCGCTTTGCATGGCCCTCACTGTTTGCATTTATCTCACTGTTCTGTGCATCATGTATTTTGGGTGGAAGGAGGGGAGAAGGGGAGCAAGGATGAGAATGCTGCTGTAGTGCAGGTAAAGATCACTGGACTAGGGAAAGCAGGGAGCAGAACTGGAGAGAAGTGGATGAACTGGAATACATTTTAGAGAGTTGGTTGATTGGCTAGATGGGGAGTGGGAAAAAAGTCTATTAAATGCTTAGCTTCCTTCCCTATGTTTTCTTTCCCTGTTTTACTTTCTATACAGATTTATGATGATCTAAGCAGATGTATTCAAGGAAGGCAGGCTTTTGCCAGTTTTCTTTCCTGCTAATTCCAGATCTTAGAAGAGTTCCTGGCACATCACAGGGCTTCAGCAAGAAGCAATTAATCGTTGGAATGAATAAGCAAAAGGATGCTAAATAACCTTGTGAAGTACTTTGCACAAGGCAGTTGCAGCCTGTGATGGTACTTCTCCAGTTCATACATCAGAGAGGATGGACACTGAGTGTGGGAAGCTCTGGAGGTCTGATTACATTGAGAAGGTCAATGGGACTGACTGACATCTGAGGCAGTGTCTAGATGGCTTTTTGGTTCCTTCAGCACTTCACAGATAATAGCTACAGATGCTGGTTATGAGCTACTAGTCAGATAATAAACACAGAGAAAGAGCTATCTCCATAAGCACAATACGATTTCTTCAGAGGAAAGATCCATTTGTCCTGCTGAGGCAGGTCTGTATGTGCAATAGCATTTTGAGTTGGTATTTCAGGTATTTCTGAATCTCAAAATGCATAGAGGGTAAAAATGGAATTTCAACCTAAGAGAAAAACATGAGCAAAGTTGGTAATATAATGAGAAGATTATGTTATGTAAGGAGCAGCAAAAAAGATCAACAAAGGTGGCTTTGGGCCAGTAGTTGAGAATCCTTGTTCCAATAGTCTGTCTCAGACTCACATGCTATAGGACACTTAGAATTGAGTTTGCGTAGGGGCTTGGGACAGCAAGTATAGTCTGTCTGGAAGGCAGTACCGGGGGATCCTCTTCTGAGGGGACTCAGAACTGTTTTCACGCAGTCCAGTTCAACCAAACATGCAAATAAAACAATATGGTCCCAACTGAGACAAATCAGTTAATAAAAATAGACTAAGAAATGACACAAAGGACAGACAGAATGGAGAAACTCATTAGCACAGTTACTACAATATGCTAAGTCTACCAGACTCTGAAGCTATCTCCTTACAATGTGTGTTTGCACTCAGTAATACTGACCCCCACACTGGCTCCAAGGGATCATTCCTTTATAATGCCTATATAATGATGAATCTTTTCCTCATTCTGGATTCAAATTAAATTCTCAGTGAAGAAGGAACCACAGGGCATTTGGTGGGTCTGAACAGCTTCTCAGATGCTCTAGGAAGTGCCCCAGTGTGTCCCAGTACAAGAGACTGTCTTGTCAAAGCTAAATAATATGTGTGTAGTGACCCCAGAGTTTCAAGGAGAAGGTTGGAGACAGCATTTCATGAGGAGGTTTAGAAGTTTCAGGAATCTTATGGATATATATGACATTTTATAATTCAAGGTCCTTCTGTGGTTTAAGCCTTACACTGACAGAACATTGCTAGTATTGTTACATATTCCTAAAAAAGGCACCATTGTTCTTGTTTTCCAGAATCATTTTTCCAGAATCATTTATGCCTGATTGAATTCAGAGAACTTAGCTTTAGATAGTCCTCTGTGTGTGTGTGTGTGTGTGTGTGTGTGTGTGTGTGTGTGTGTGTGTGTGTGTGTGTGTGTGTGTGTGTATGTGTGTGTGTCCCGTGGCTTGAACTCAGGGCCTGGACACTGTCCCTGAGGTTTTTGCTTAAGACTAGCACTTTATCAGTTTGAGCCACAATGTCATTTCTGGCTTTTTGGTAATTAATTGGAGATAAAATCTCATGAATTTCCCTGCCTGGCTGGCTTTGAATGGTGATCCTCAGATCTCAACCTCCTAGGTAGTTAGGATTGTAGGTGTGAGCCACCATTCCCAAGGTTAGATAATCCATTTTTATTGGTTTGGAAAAACTATCACAGACTACACTTTTTCTGATGTGTTTGTAAGATACCAATGCTATAGAAAAGAATGGAAAAATTTACCTCATTGGTCTTTTTCAGCTCTTGTAATTGCAAGGTGTCCCTTTCATGCTGCTTCATGAGCTCCTAAAAACAATTTCATTTGGAAAAGGTAAGTTCTAGAACTTCTCTCAAAGAATTAAGAAAGCCAGCCAGGCGTTAATGGCTCATGCCATTAACTGAGATCCGAGGATCACAGTTCAAAGCCAGCCCCGGCAGAAAAGTACATGAGACTTTATCTCTAATAAACCACCAGAAAACCAAAAGTGGTGTTGTGGCTCAAGTGGTAGAGCGCTGGCTTTGAGCTGAAGAGCTGAGGGACAGCACCCAGGCCCAGAATTCAAGCCTCACAACTAACAAAAGAAAAAAGAGAGAGAGAATTAAGAAAGCCAGTAGAGGACTCAGGAACATAATATTCACCAAGGACATGAGTATAATGACACACATATTATTGAATTATGACATTTTGAAATTCAATAATGAAAATATTATATTTAGCCTTATATGTTGACAAATAAAGAAATTATACTTTCTTTTTTTTACATGCAAGTACTTTTTTGCAATAAAGAAAGAGTTAAATTGGAACAGAAAAGACACAAAATATACATATAAGCTAATTTTAAGCAATATTACCATGTAGCTTTATGTGTGTTCTGTGTTTTCCAATTATTTCAAAAAGACCCCTTAAGCCAGGCACCAGTGGCTCATGCCTGTATATTGCAGAGAATATGTATAGGTCCTTCATTAAATACCAAAGTTACATCTCTTCTAGCCTGAATGATATATACTCAATTCTCTCTAAATTAAGCAAAATAAAACACAGAAAACAGTACACCTAGCTCCCACAAGTAGCTCACTAGATTCACTAAATAAAACTGATATTTTCCAGTCCGCATTCTTGCATTCTTTCTGTCAGTAGTAGCAGTAATGATATTTTCCTAAACAATACAAAGGTGTTTTTTTAAAATTTTAGCATTTAGAGAAAATGATACATATTACACAGTGGTTCTAAATCATAGATTTAATAAGGCCAATTTGGCCAGGTATTTATTACATTATAAATATGATTTTAATGTGCTAAAATTTCACATATTACTTCCTATTTAAAATATTAACCTTCTTGAAATGTAACTACTACGTAGCATCATCTAACACTGACTGAAATATACTACACTATATCATATGTGTTACATGCACGAGTCCACTATAGCAAAACTTTAGTTACCACAGGAATCAAAACAGATCAATTTGCTGCATTGTAGCCCCCCAATACAGAAGTCAGTGTACAGAAGTCAGCTACAACAGTGTAGCTCTACTTAAAAGGGATCAGATGGGGCATAGAATGTGGCTTAGTGGTAGAGTGCTTGCCTAGCAAGCATGAAGCCCTGGGTTCAATTCCTCCATACCACATAAAAAGAAAAAAACAGAAGTAGTGCTGTGGCCAAATGGTAGAGTGTCAGCCTTGAGCAAAAAAGCTCAGGAGCAGTCCTCAGGCCCTGAGTTCGAGCCCCAGAACTAGCAAAAAAAAAAAAAAAAGTGAAAGGGAACAGATAACAATTAAATCCAATTTGTTAAATTTGAAGTCAACTTATATATTGCCAAGACAGTGTCAGCATCATGTAATTTATTTTGAAAGGCACACCTATGATCTATTTAGCAGATTAATGGCATCCACATATATCCTTTGGGTGAAAAATCCTCACAGGTGCATTAGATGTGGATAACCCACAGAGACCAGTTGGCAAATGACCAGTCAAAAAGTAATGAAGTAGGGGGCTGGGAAGGTGGCTCAGTGGTAGAGCACTTGCCTTGCATGCCTGAGGCCCTGGGTTCGATTCCCCAGCACCACATAAGCAGAAAAAAAAAAGCCGGAAGTGGTGCTGTGGCTCAAGTGGTAGCGCGCTAGACTTGAGCTGAAGAGCTAAGGGACAGTGCCTAGGCCCAGAGTTCAGGCCTCACGACTGGAACCCCTCTCCCCTCAAAAAAGAGAAATTATACTTCCTTAAGACGCTTTCCTTAAGTCAGTATACAGATTCAGCATTCTTAAGGATACAGTTCTGAGGATGGAAATATAGCTCAGTGGTAGAACACTTGCTTAGCATGCTCATGGCCATGAGTTCAACCCCAGCACCACAAAAAGCAAAAAGAAAGATTTCAATTCTAAAAAGACTGACCTTTATTTTCACTACAATCCCAATCAAAAGTTTTTTTTTTTTGATCTAGCTAATTCAATTGACAAAGTAGCTTTTTCTTTCTCCTTTCTTTCCTTTTCTTCCCTCCCTCCTCTCCTCTCTTTCTTTTTCTTTTGTTCTCTCTTCTTCATTTCTTTGGTATCACTATGTAACACAGATCACTCTTGAATGTTTAATTCTCTTGTTTCAGTCTCCCAAGTGCTGGGATTACATATGGGTAACACATCTGGCTTGACAATGTAGCCCTAAAATATACATAGAAATGCAAAAGATGTACCAAGGCCTAAATAATCTTGAAAAACAATAGTAAAGTTAGATGATCTTTTTTTTTGGGGGGGGGAGGGTCCGGTCGTGGGGCCTGAACTCTGGGCCTGGGCGCTGTCCCTCAGCTCTTCAGCTCAAGGCTAGCGCTCTACCACTTGAGCCACAGCGCCACTTCTGGCTTTTTTCTTTTTGCTTATGTGGTGCTGAGGAATGGAACCCAGGGCCTCAGGCATGCAAGGCAAGCACTCTACCACTGAGCCACTTTTCCAGCTCCAGTTAGATGAATCTTTAATACCTGGTTTTAAACTACACTATCTAAGACAATGTATTATTGGCTCGTGTATAGATAACACTCAGGTAGAACAGAATGGAGAGCCTGATCTTTCGCTCACAAAGATGTTAAGACAGTTCAATGGGGATAGACTTTTTTCCCCCCAAAAAGTGGTGCTCAAAAGCCAGGTTTTGGTGGCTCACATCTATAACCCTAGCTACTGAGAACAGGCTGAGATCTGAAACCAATCTGGGTAGAAAAACCCATGAGATTGTTATCTTGAACTAATCATCAAACAGCTGGAAGTGGAGAGGTAACTCAAGGGGTAGAGTGCCAGCGTTAAGTGAAAAAGCTAAGGAATAGCTTTGAGTTCAAGCCCCAGTACTGGCACACGCACAATGGTACTAAAAGAACTGGCTATTCATATGGGAAAAAATATATCACTGAATTATAAGTACTAAGATTGTAAGATTCCTAAAACTAAAGTATCTTCATGGCTTTTTAATAGGCAAAGATTTTGTAGAGAAGGCACAAAAAGCTTTTAAACACACAAAGAAAAGATTGATAATTTGCCATTTCCCAAAAAGAAAAACTGTTGGTCATTAAAAGACACCCTTACTAAAATGAAAAGGCTTAACAAAAGAAAAAAGCTGCAAGTGGGGAGTAGCTGAGAAGAAATTTATGTACTCTATGGATAAAGCACTGAAATGCAACAATATAAAGGTAGGCCTATGGGGTTGGGAAGGTGGCTCAGTGGCAGAGTGCTTGCCTTGCATGCATGAGGCCTTGGGTTTGATTCCTCAGCACTACATAGGCAGAAAAAGCTGGAAGTGGCACTGTGGCTCAAGTGGTAGAGCTCTAGCCTTGAGCTGAAGAGCTGAGGGACAGCACCTAGGCCCAGAGTTCAGGTCCCATCACTGACCAAAAAAAAAAAAAGATAGGCCTAGTATTTCTCAAATAGCAAAAGACTTCAACAAACATATTACAACAGAAGATAGACCAATGGTCCAATAATACATGGAAAACTGTCCAGCATAATTAGTCATCAGGAAAATTAAAATCAAGATGATTGCATTGACCACAAGACTGGAAATACTAATTGTTGTGAAAAATGTGAGGCAACCAAGATTCTCATGCTTAAGATGCAAGAATAAAATTATGTGAGTACTGTGGAAAATAACAATTTGTTATACAATTAAATTTACACTTGTTCTAGCGCCCAGTCATGGTACCACTAGGTATATATCCAAGAGAAAGAAAAGCATATGTCAACAAAATGCTAGTAGAAGCATGTTTATTAATGTACTGGAGTGAGTGGTTGGACCTGACATGTGAAATTGCTGGAGCTGGCCTAGAATTCTACAAGTTACAAGTGGTTGTCTGGGGGCAGGTTTTGGAGAGAAGAGCACAAGACTTCTTTCTGGCTTTATGAAATGGTCTAGATCTTGAGTTGGCTTCATGGGTATATACATTCGTCAAGTCACGTTTAGGTTTGAGCATCTTGCTAAGTAAAAGTTATACCTCAATGTGTGTGTGTGTGTGTGTGTGTGTGTGTATGAGTGAGAGAGTGAGAGAGAACCTCATTTACCCCATTTACAGTCAGTGATACTGGAGAGCAACGGGAAGGAGGAAGGAGACTTTGCAAGCAGATCCAACCCTCCCCCACAATATATAGATGAACTACCATTTTTTATTAAGAGAATGAGGCCTACAGACCAAGAAGCACTCCATGCACAACAGAGCATGGCCCAACTCGCATCCTTTTGCTCAGTAAGCATACTAATACAAGAAATGGGCTATTGGTAAAACCAGTGGTTTTTTTTTTTTTTTTTTTTTTTTTTTACCATTACTAGAAATGGATAGAAAATAAAATATTTAAAATATTGTAAAGCCAAAGTATTATAAAAAGTATATTTTCTACAAGAAGGGAACAAATATATCTAACAGAGTCTAGCATGTGCACTTAGGGATGGCACCTAACAATTGCTCCCAGGATGGTTCTCTGCTCTGCTTAGGGGGTCTGGTTGCCTGCTACAGACCACAGTGGCCTCTGTAATGCCACACACCTACTGTTGGTAAAGCAAATCTTTGGTGTACCCCAAAGCCAGAGATCTATCTGGGAGTGTAAAGTGTTTGGATTCTACTTGCTAATTCATATTTACTTAATAAATGTCTGCGTGTTTTTGTAGAATTCCTACTTTCTTTTTTAAAAAATTACATTTTTATTATCTTTAAGGAGTTTTACAAAGGGGTTACCATTCAACAAATGAGTTTATAAATATAGTGCATCTTGATCAATGTCACCTCTTTTGTCATTCTTCCCTATTCCCCCAGCCCCTCCCCTAAATTTTCCTAGTTTCATAGGATATGCATCAAATATTATGACTGCATTCAACCCCTCGCCTCTTCCTCTCTTCATGAGTCTCAGTAATGGTGGATTGGTTAGCAATTGTTTAACACTCACCTATTTTGAGGTAACTACTCTCATTCACTAAATGCTGTGCAAGACCAACTTTGTTTGATTTAGTTTGTACCAATACTTGTCTCTTCAGCTTCAGGATTGGATGAGAAGGAATCAGAGATGTGATTTAGAAAAGCAAGGAACTTGAGTTTTCGCATGGTTAGCATTCTGTTATTTCCTGTTAAGTACAATTTTCATCCTCATTTGTTATCCTTAGTAAGACTATCTAGCTATAAAGGCCAACAAGTCTGCTATTCTATTTGCATGTATTTCCAGGAAATCTGGGCAAAGAGGGGAATGTCCATTAAGACAAAAAAAGATCAGCCAATTATGAGAGCCAGTCTGGAAACTCAGCTCTGCTGCCTGAACTACATATTGAATCATTGATGAGTTTGGTTGAGTTACCTCCTTTTCTCGAACGAAGTTCTCAAAGATATCGCTGTAAGACTTGTTTATTTTCTTCTTTTCTTCTTCTGACTCTAACTCAAACCTTTTTGCCATCCTATGTTCTGTGGAGGGAAGAAAAAAACCACATCTTTATATGAATGTGGAAAAAGCAAGTGCAGAAAAAAATATCTGAAGATAAAAGTATTTCCAGACTGAGTCAAACTCAGAGCCTTTTCATCGTAGAGTTCAGGCTCTGAGGCTACCTAGGTTTAAGGGTGAGTGAGCATGGGGCTTGTCCTCAGTCATATTAGCTGTGACTTTCCACATTTCTGGTTCTTTATACAAAATCGGCTGCTTATTATTACGTTCATTCCCCTGCTAAAGTAATCAGTGTTTTCTTAGATAGTTAAATCTTTAAAGAAAGCTCTTGATAGGCCTGACCCGTCCATTCTGTGCTTAGCCTTGGGGCAGAAGTAGATTTATACTGTTCCCATGGGTAGAGAAACCTGTCTGCAGAACTCCAATACCAAACAATAAGAAAAAGGCAAGGACAAACAATCCGGTGTCAGAGTTTGGGAGGATGAGTAGGGAGCTTTAGGGCTCACAGGGTTACTCTAGAATGAGCTGCATAATAAGCAGCTAACTTGTGATGTTTCACAAATGAGTGGTTACATGAAGGCCTAGACTCTTGTGACATAGGAGGTGCTGCATGAATAGCTAGAAGGTTGGAAGATGACCTGGGTTCTGGTGTCTGGGCTTCTAGGTGAGTGGAATACTTGACAAACCACAGAGAGGAGGCTTTTGTCCCATTCCCAACTTCAACTCCAGGGTTTTCATGCTGCCCTACAGGGGCCAGAGTCCCCACTAGAATGTGAGCTGACTTTCCCAGAGACTTTCTACATGTAAGCCAGTAATTTGGTTTTAACCAACTAAATGTATAAGGGACCTCAACTTAGGTCTGGAAATAGTCCCATAAATTCCTTCCTCCATTTATGTAAAAGCTCACTAAATGGTGGGTGGTATACCTATAGAGTTCTGGATTACAAATGTTGGAAGTATTAAAAATATTTATCAAACATGGCTCCCTTTGGGGAACCTGGTTGGGGGGGGGATGGTAAGAGGCTCTCAGTGTAATCAACACTGCTGTCTCCCCATCTACACAAGTGAATATTTCATATTCGAATTCAGAAACTACTGGAACATTGGGGTCACCTGTATTTAGGTATCAAGTTACTTTTCCTCTAGAGGTCCCAATACTTCCCGACCATGATGGTCAAACATGGAAATCAGTGAGTTTTTGAAGGTGCAGGCATAGACCCCTTAGTTCAGGAGTCTCTTTTAGGCACCTTTCCATCTCTCCATTTAAGAGTTTAGCATGTAGCTCCCACCCCCTTGGTAAATCGAAGTCCACCTCCTTAAAGTTTAACAGCAGCTGTTTTGATCCATACCCTTGGTAAATTGAAGTCCACCTCCTTAAAGTCAAGACTAAGTTTAACAGCAGCTGTTTTGATACCCTTGTAAGAAAAAAAAATCCGGAAGTTTCTGTAACACTCACTTTGCTGTAGTAGAATCTTTTCTCGTTCTAACTTCTCATCCTTCTCCCATTCTGCCTTCCGCTTGGACCACCTATCTTCCATTTCATCATAAATGCTATCCTGGAGGCATAAAGGTACCATGAAGAAGAGTGTTCTAAAGTAGGAGACCTGTAGAGGCTGTAAATCCATAGCTGGAGACCCTTCCTAGCATAGCAGGATATCCTGTGCTGTTCCTCTTAGCCTGGCCCTCTTTGAGCGTCCCTTCATAGATGGCACATGAGAAGAAAACCCCAGCCTAAACCTGCAGAGAGCTGGTGGAACCTAAGGTTCAGGGAAAAGCAAGCACAGCATTTGCAGGGATGGAGCCTGGCCCCCTTTGAAGCTAGGCTTCTCCTCTCCATCTCACAGGTCAGCCACTCCTGAGTCATAGAGCTCCCCATTCAGTAGGACGTGCAGAACAATGGGAAATGTCTGGAGTTAAATTGAACATTTAGAAAATACTGGGAGTTTTTGTTGTCTGTTGACACATGTTCTTGCTCTATAGTCCAGTCTGGCCTGGAACTCACTGGCCCAATTTCTTAGTCAGACTTTGTACACGCTTTCATTTTGGCCTCTAATTGTGCAAATTGTAAGAAAGACCCTCATCCAGATGGCCACAAACAGCTCCAGCTGCACACCGATACTCAGCTGGTCTGAATCCTCTGCTATAACCCAGAAGGGAAGGACTTTATTGTCATGGGATGCCCACATCTCTCCCCCCATCTCCCCCCTCCCACCCCCACCCCATGCCTCAGCAGCATCTAGGTCCTGGGCCTCTCCTCCTTGATTCCGTTCTCTTAAAGTCCGAGCCCGTCAACAGGCATGGCATTGACAGGTGTATTTAATCTCAGCCACAAAAGGAAATTATGGTTGTTGAGAACGAAATGGGTGCTCTCTGCAAAACATAACATTGTGACTAGCCATAGCTGGCGTGGGCTTTCAGTGCTCAAACCTGCCAAGTCCCAGGCCACCAGAGCCATTGTTAAGGACAGTGACCAACAGGTTTGAAGTAGTGATTTTTTATTGTTGTTGTATCAAGCCATTGAAAACAATTCAAATGGCCAACTGTACAGGAATAATCATATGCCCAGTGGCACTTATATTAAGATAATAGCTAGACATTACAAAAGGAGATAAGGGATTCTGGTATGCTTAATGAAAAGGAGGAATAGAAAACTACTGTCTCAACAGTAGTTTTAATGAAGTACAAATCAGAGATTGCCTTTGGCTGGTGAAACTTTTTGTTGTTGTTATTGTTGGTTATTTCTTTTTTTTTAGTTTTTTTTTTTTAAAGAACAACAAACAGCTATTAGTTTTGTCACCAGAAACCTATTTCTCAATAAGCTTCTCTGGGGCTTAGATGACTGATTGTCACGCTTGGAAGGCACTGGGCTCCTGCTTCTTTCTGCATAGTCAGAGCCACTTAGGTGCTGGGATGCTGAAAGACATTATTTTCTGGACAGAAGCTTTGGGTTCATTGTGGTGTTACCAGTCAGGAATGAGATCTGCTTCACTCACTCTTATAGCCCACCAAAGTCCCTCTGAAGCTCACCTGGTAAATATGAAACATGTTCTTCAAATACTTATATTCTTTTTCCATCTCCTCTAGACAACAACAACAACAAAATAACAAGGTCATGTTACTCCTCTGACATGCACATTTTCAAATCTAAACGTGGGCTGTCCTGTACATCCTCCTACCCCAAACTCTTATTTAGGGAGTGAAACTTTTTGAAGCCCTAGAAATCACCCTGAAAACTTATTTAAACCTCAAATGTTGAACTCCACTTTAAACCTACCAAATTAGTTAGCAGAGGGACCTGGTATGTATTAACAAATATTCTTCTAGGGGATTTTGATGCATACTAAGTCTGTTCAACTACAGGTTAACAAAAGCCCCAAAGGTAAATATACATCTGTGGGGAAAAGAGGAACAAAACCTTACAGTGTACATCTACATCTGTTTCTTACGTAAATATTTCCTATTTTACAATGATTAGGAGTACAATACATGCTTTTAGGAAAGTGGAATCTTAGCAAAGTATATCTATTGTTCAAAAATTAAAATAAAGGAAGAAGGCTGCAGAATTTCTCTTTGGAGATTAGTCTATAAACTCACATTTCTGAAGGGCACACACTCTGATCTTCCCAAGGGCATGATAAGCAATGAGATTTCATGGCAGATATAAATAATCCATTGAAGGCCATACAGTGTGTCAGTGAGAATTTAATAAAACACTATCCTTTTATGGGGGAAGAAATTTGCTGAATCTTGTTAGTATTATATTTGTAGAACATTTCATACACTTTAAAAGTGTATTCACATTCTTTTAAATTTTTATTTAAAAAATTTAAATTAACTTTAAGTAATTGTACAAAAGGGTTTCATGTCAATATGTCAGTTTATGAGTACAAGAGTATCTTGGTCAAAGTCACCCCTCCCATTATTCTAACTGCCATCTATCCTGGCTCCACCCATTTCTTCAAGTTAGTTCTCTTTTCCAGAAGTACACTGGATGTTATGACTGGATTCGCTTACTCTGTCCCTCCATCCATCTGGCCCTCACCCTCTGTACTGATATTCTCATGACATTGATAGCAGATATTTTTGTCCTTAGTTCCCAAGTGGGAACTAAGAAGATTAAGGGACTTCTTCAGATCTTCAAGGGAAAGGAAGGATAGCGGTAGATACAGTCCTTCTTTTCAGTCTCATGCCTAGCTGCTTTTCCCCCTTTACCTTCAGCCAGGAAGCCTCAGACACCTGGACACCACCCATCCACAGCCATGGGAGCTCCTCAGCCCTAGACCTCATCGAGCGCTCACCCTTCCTCCCAGAGTCATTCTCCCAGATCCCAACAGTACCTAGCTTCTCCTGAGCAGCTGACTTCTCTGCCTTCAAGGCTTCTTTGTAGTTGTTCTCTAATTTACCGAGCTCCACTTTATGAGAGTTTGTGAGCTCCCTGCAGAAGCCAGAAGACCACTGTCATCAGTGAAAAGGGCTGAGCCATCACACTGCCATACCCTCCCCCTCCTGTGTCCTACTGTGAGTGAGGTCGCCAATTCCTCTAGCTTCTGGACTTCCATCCAGAGAGAGGTGAGAGGACCCTCGTTTCTTACACCTACTTTTGTCTAATGGACTTGTCAGGATCCACATACTCATCATCTAAAAGCATAGTGTTTGCTTACAGCTCATTTGGGAAACTGTAAGCTAGATTAGCTCCTAGGTTATTTCCCAACCCAAGCAAGCAGCTGTTGACATTGTTTGAGTACTGGAACAGAAATCTACATGAGTCATCAAGCCATAAAGAGAGGTGGAAGGAAACTTCAGACATTACTAAGTAAAAAAAAACAAGCCATTCTGCTTCCAAGTACATGAAATTCTGGAAGATGCCATGTGAAGATAATAAAAGATCAAGGGTTGCCAGGGTTTGGGGTGGATGGTTTGAGATGGGATGGGGATGGATAAATAGGCAGAACACAAAGGACTTCTAAAACTCTTCTGACATTTCCAAACCTTGAATGTTTAATCCTAGGAATGAACCATAAACTAGGGGTGGTGGGTGATGATGATGTGTCAGTTGTAACAGATGTACCACTGCGGGGATGTTGGTGGGTATAGAAAGCTGTAAGTGTGGGACACAGGGAATATATGGAAACTGTACTTTCCTGACAAAGCTATTTTAAAAAATGAGGCCTATAAATGATTAAATAAAGAAATAAATGTTTATATAAAATGCTACGATGCAACTAGAGGTGCTCCCTCTTCATCATCATTGTAAATGATAATTTAGAATTGCAACCATTCATGAGGTACCAGATGATGTTATGCTTTAGCAATATAGTACAAAATAAGTAAAATCAAGCAAGTTAATAGATTCATAATCTTAAATGTATTTTTAGTGTGTGATGAGAGCATTTGAAATTTGCTCACAAGTAATTTTAAGACAAACAGCATTCTATTATTAGCTAGTCATCATGCCGTGCAAAGATCTTTTTAAAAATGTACTTTTCCCGCCTGAGATTTTGTACTCTTGACTAGCATCTCTCCTCCTTGCCTCCCAAGCCTCTGTTATCACCTTCCCTCTCTGTTTCCTATGAGTTCAATTACTTCAGATTCCAAATGTAAGGGGAAAGGTGCAATTTGTCTTTCTGTGCCAGCTTATTTCACTTAGCAGAATATTTTCCCCTTTCCATCCATATTGGTACAAATGACAGAATCCCTTCTCTTTCAAGTCTGAATGGCATTTTATTCTTCCATTCATCTGTTAGTGGAACTTAGGTTGGTTCCACAGCTTGCTAGTGCACATAGTGCTGCAACAAACATGGGAGTGGCAAGATTTGCTTTTCCACAGAAAGCCTAATATTGCTCTAAAGCAACAGTCATCCAATCAACGAATCACAGTGGATGACTCAACCAGGAATGCTGTCTCTCTGCAGGACACAGGCTCTTCCTGGTGCAGCAAGCAGTCTGGCAGGGGATTTTGAGATTTGCCTCACCCACACTGAATAGCCTCCATGTCATTTCCTCTTGACTTGCCATCACTTTTCTCCTCCCATCTCTTCTTTCTATTGTATTCTCATGGAAAGTAGAGATTGGAGAAAGTAAGGAAAACAGTCATTTATCATAAAAATCTCCTAGAGAAAAATACGGCTCTTCTCAGCAGCCAACAAGATCGTCATTGAAATGAAAAAGCTGGATGATAAAATACAAAAGCAGAAGTACAAAACCACTGAGTCACTTCATTTTAGTGACTGCAAATCAAACCATTCTGCCCCCACAGACTGCCCCAATTATCTCTGCCCCATCCCCTGGCAAGATCTGACTCTATTTAGCCTCAAGTAAAGTTCCAGGATCTAGGGCCCTGCAAAGGAGCCTTAGCACCTTCAGCTCTCAGGACTTGTGTGAAAAACATACCTGCTCATGTTCTCAAAGTGCTGCTTCAGCTCAGCACAGCGGCGATCCATCTCAGTGGAAAGCTGGAAATGAAAGCAGCATTGACCACCCAGGGCTGGGAATAGGATCTGCATCTTCTGCAAAGCCTCCCCAATCCCAGGAATGTGTCTGCCCATACCTGTCCTAGATATATTCTGCAGTGAACCAGAACAATGCCTGTTCCCAATCAGTTCATAAAGTTGATACATGCAAAATACCTCATACAGTACTGTTTGTAGAGGGTCTGGTTTCTCTGTTAGATTATCTTTTTTTTTTTTTTCTGTACCAGTCCTGGGACTGGGGCTTGAAATCAGGGCCTGAGTGCTGACCCTGAGCCTTTTTGTCCCTTCTTTTTTTTTTTTTTCCTCATACCACTTGAGCCACAGCTTAACTGCGAGAATTTTTTTGGTGCTTAACTGGAGATAAGAGTTTCATGGACTTTTCTACCTGGACTGGCTTTGAACCTTGATCCTCATATTTCAGCCGCCTGAGTAGTAGACTGCCATTTTATTGTAAGATCCTGACCTTTGGATTCAGGTACATAATTCAACCGAACAGTCATTTATTGAGCAAAGAGCTTGGCTGAAAGAGTAAGATGAAAATGTCTAGCAATCGGACTCTGCCTTCTAGGAGGTTAAAGCTGTTTGGTTTGCATGTTTGGCAGCATGGTTGGTTTGTAGCAGACAAGAATTTCTCTCTCTCGGGTACTATCATCCTAACTTAGCAGATCCCCTGGCCAAAATTTCAAGAGGAATGGATACCTCAAAGCCATGTAGCATAGATCTTGTCTCTCTCCTATTAGTAAGGCAGAGGCTGCCTGGCACAATGAGGCTCAGGTTCAGCCACTGACTGGCACCTTGCCAGCCAGGACTACTCCTGGCCATGGGGCCACAACACAAATTGGGGTGCTGTTTACAAGCAGAGTATTTTCAAAATCTCAGTTTTGGGTCCCTCAAGTTGCCTTCTACTGGCCTATGCTCACGAGTCAGATGACATTCTGGCTAACATCTGGCTGTGGAGCTATGAGGTACCTTCCTCAAATTTCACTCTTCCTTCTACAGAAGGAAATAAGACAGCGTATCAGCAGTGAGGGCGGGAGATCTTGGCCTGAATCATAATGTTGGTTCTGACCAATCCAGGGGTAAGAAAGAGGTCACCTGCTGGAGGTAGAGCTCTCCCCGCCCTTCCCACCCCAAGTGAGGAATTTTCACAAGGGAGGAAGTTTCTGAGCACAGCTCTGGGCTAGCAGTTCATCCCATACCACCAGGGACACCTGCTTGAGCTAGGGAAGAAGGGCCACTGATAATTAAAGGTGGACAAGGGTCACTTGTGTATCCCAAGAAGCACAAAGCATAGGCAATGACCTATGTAGTTTCTGAAATGTGGGCATTGACAGTTTGATTAGTAACAGATGGTGGACACAGGAGGCTTCCAGAAGCTTTTGCTGTGTGTATGTGCTGGTATTGTGGCTTGAACCAAGTGTTTCACATTCTCCCTTAGCTTCTTCTTCTTTTTTTTTTTTTTTAAAAAAAATAAAACTAAGGGCCGGCACCCTACCACTTGAGCTACACCTCCACTTCAGGCTTTTTGCTGGCTGCGTAGAGATGAGTCTCAGAGATTTTTCTGCCTTGGCTTGATCCTCACATCTCAGTTTCTTAAATAGCTAGGATTATAGGGGTGAACCACCTGTGCACAGCTTACGGGAAGCTTTTGAGCAGCACTGGAGGCACCTGTCTGCTGGTGTCGTTAGTGCCTCACAACTTCTGAAATTCATCTTCTGACTAAGGCCAGATGGGGAGTGACAAGCATCTCCTAGTGTGGAAGGCACTATGCCATTCTGCACCTGAGAGGCAGCTGGATGCTTCCCATAGCTGAATGAGTCAGGCCTGAGTTCTTGCAGTTATGGATGGAAATGGACTCAGAGAAATGCTACTGCCTACATACATGGTCCAATCTCTAGAGTCCTGTCTCCTGGGCAGCAGGGTTCAACGAAGTCAAATGATTGGCATCTTGCCTGGCACATAGGTAGTCTGAGAATATTATTCCTATCCTCTCTGTAATGGTATTGGCTACTTTAAGGATTACTCACCAACTTCTGAGCAGCTAAGTGGTCTCTGTTCATTTGTTCTATGATTGTAGTCAGCTCTGAGATCTGCTCCTCAAGGTCAGAAATGATTTCAATCCTGTAGGACAAGCAATTCTACCATCACAACACTTACTGTTGCACCAGTCAGGTGTCTGGGATGACTGGAGTCTGGTCTGGTGAGATCCAGGACATGTTCTGTACCTGTTCCACCACCGTGGGAGGGGATGGTGGGATGGAGGGGTGGTCTTGGATAAAGTATTTCACAGAAGGCTGGTCGAACCTCAGATCTGGCCTTTTGGCTAAGCTAGCTAAAAGTGAGCAGGGTGGTTTGGTGCCCTATTGAGTGAAGAGAAATAGACATATATCAGACATTGATTAGAGTTTGAGTTGGTGATAGTTCAAATGAGAGAGGACTAAAAAAAGAGAAAATGGAGGAATAAGATGGATGCTGACTGTGAATCACACAATGAGACAGCGATGGGACTCAGAGGAGATTTAAAGGAGTGGCTTTCAGGCCACTGTGGTGATTCTCGCCTGTAATCCCAGTTACTCAAGAGGCGGAGGCAGACAGATAGTGAATTTGAGGCTATTCTGAACAAGGTAATGGTAAGACCCTGTCTCAAAAACAAAATAGAGCCAAGTGCTGGTATCTTGTTTGTAATCCTAGGCACCTGGGAGGTTGAACTTGGAAAGGCTGAGGTTCTAGGCTAGCCTGGGCAAAAAGTTTGTGAGCCCCCATCTTGGCAAATAGCTGGGTTATTTAGCTATCCAAGATGTCAGCCCAGCCCCATGGAAGGCTGAGATCAGGAAGATGGCAGTTTCAAAATGCCCAGATAATGAAGTTCAAGAAATCCTCTCATCAAAAAAAAAACCCACAAAAAACAAAACAAAACCCCAAAACGAAGCATTATGATACACCCAGCTAATTAGGAAGAATAAATAGTCTAGTTCAGCCATGGCAAACCCCAATACTCTCAAAAATAGCCCGAGCAAAAGAGAATGTAGGCATGGTTCAGCAGTACAATGCCTACCTATCATGCATGAGGCCTAATGGCAAACAAACAAACCAAAAAGGATGAGGGTATATGTAGCTCAAGGTCCTGGTCTTTAATGTGCAGTAGTAAGGAAAACTAGAATGGTCTTCATTACTTACAATGGTTTTTGGTGTTTCTGGGTCTGGGGACACCATGGTATCTGTAGAATGTTTAGCTGTAATTAAGCTGAAGTAGATAGGGTAATAATTTTTATGGAGAGGCTGAGAGGAGGTTTCAATTCAAAAAGCTTTGATTCTTTGGCCAATCATCCTCCACAGCTAATTAGGCACTGAGAGGATGTGAGGTAAGAAAAGACACAGGAGGAGATGATGCCCGGGCATGAGAAACTCGAATGACCAGGGACCATTGTATTTTGAGTAGTAGAAGCAAAAGTCACAGCTTTATCAGGTAACCAAACAAACATGGACTATCATTATTATTATTTATTATGCCTCAATTGGTGACACTTTTCCCTATATAAATCCAACAGTTCACTGTAGGGTTCTCTTCCTGCAGAGGGAATGCCTCACAAGATGCAAAGGCAGGGGCTTGGGTCTAGCTTCTCCGGGTCAGCTCAAATCAGGGCAACCCCACAGCACAGTTATTCTCAGTCTGAATCTCTTCCCAGACGTATCCACTGCTAACTATTAAGTTGTGTCTTTTCTATTGATGAATAGATATAAGTGACTCTGTGTGTGTGTGTGTGTGTGTGTGTGTTGTTATTCCTGCTGTTCTTTTTTTTTTTTTTTTGTCAGTCATGGGGCTTGAACTCTGGGCTTGGGTGCTGTCCCTCAGCGCTTCAACTGAAGGCGAGCGCTCTATCACTTGAGCCACAGAGCCACTTTTGGTTTTCTAGTGGTTTATTGGAGATAAGAGTCTCACGGAGTTTACTGCCCGGGATGGCTTTGAACCTCGATCCTCAGATCTCAGCCTCCTGAGTAGCTAGGATTACAGGCGTGAGCCACTGGTGCCTGGCTCCCTGCCGTTCTTAATAATCAAGACACATTGTACCTACAAACTGGTATGTTGAGTTGAAATCTCTTTGTAAAACTATTTAATGATAATAAAAAAATTTAAAACCAAATAGTTCTATCAGACTGACGTCTGAAGGAAGAACACACAGGGAGCTTTCTGCATTACAGGTGAGAAGATGCCTGAATATGACAGGGACAGGAGGCATAGGAGGTAGTATTTAAAGGCATGGCCATATCTTGAGTATGGCACTGGATAACTACAAGTGGGCAGATCTTCAGTGACAGACAGGACAATTGTGTACCCCCTGGATGGAGATGGGCCAGAACTTTCTACACTGCATCTCCCAGAATGGGAGTTTTGAACTATAAATAATGAAAAAAGAGATGTGCAGTCCAGCCTCCCAGAGACTCTGATTTTGCTCAATTTGCCAACCAAATCCAGACTATGTTAGGGCTATATCACCTGGTTTTCACCTCAGGAGAAACTGTTCTCTTAATATGAAATCACACTAACTGTTTTCATCTGGGTAGTGTCTTCATAGTAGGGACCATGTGGCCTGAGCGTGGACTTCAGGGACTTATCCTTGAAGCTGGACCAGGCTAAGATCTCTAAGGAGATCTATGTTGTTCTAAAGATATTACCTGGAAACTGCGACTTTATCCAAGGGGCCAGAATCCAAATGTTTTTTCCTATTGAACATCTCATCCCCCAAGGTGACTGAAATCTGCTCACGATTCCGAACCAGTTGATAGCCAGGTGACACGTTGATTACTTCCTGAGCACCGAGGTGGAAGGCAAAATAAAATTGCAGACTTGGGGTATGGGGATTCCTTTAGATCTTCTACTATTGCCTTATTCACATCTTAAAAATAGAGCCATGACATGAGATTCCACAGCTCAAGTTCCATCTGCACCCTCCTCCAGTCACCCTCCATCACTGAACCTTTGATATCAGAGCCGGTACCCATTCTTCATCATCCCTTGTGGTCAGAGCCAGGGGGTGGCTGGCCACTGTGGAAATTAGTTTCAGCAGTGGGTAAGCCTGAGTTTGAATCTTTGACTCAACTTTGTCACTCAGTTTCTTAATCATAAAACGGGGAAAATTAGCTGTCACGCCTGTAATCCTAGCTACTCAGGGGGCTGAGATCTGAGGATCAAAGTCAGCCCAGGCAGGAAAGTCTGTGAGACTCTTATCTCCAATAAACCACCAGAGAGATATACAAGACACAATGTTGAAAATAAACTTTTCAACTTCGGGGGTGGGGAGAGGGAGGTGCTGGGGAGATAGGGGGAGAAGGGATGGTAGGGGAAGAACAAAGGAGGAGGTAACAATGCTTGATAGGAAATGTACTCATTACCTTACTCATGTAACTGTTACCCCTCTGTACAGTATCTTTACAATAAGAAACATATATAAAAATAAAATAAACCACCAGAAAACCAGAAGTGATGCTGTGGCTCAAGTGGTAGAGTGCTAGCCTTGAGCTGAAGCTGAGGGACTGCGCCCAGACCCAGATTTCAAGCCCCATGACCAAAAAAAAATAAAAAGGGTAAACTAATTTTTTCTTAAAGAGCTTTTGTGGGAGGGAAAAAAACCACACAAGAACATGTAAGAAATGACTATCATGTATTCATTACTTCTCCCTACCCTATTTAGATGCCAAGTCAGAATTCTGGCAAGCCCACCATGTGACCTGAACCAGGATAAGATCATAGCATCTGGTACTATGGGGAACACAGCTGCGAGGGACATATGTCACTTCCCTCTCCTCCCCCATCCTCATGTGCTATAAGACCTTGGAGCATCTTGTACTTGGTCTCTCATTGAGAGTTATCAGTTTGACTCTCTATACTCTTTCCTACAGGGAAATTATATTTCTTTCTATCTACATTGGTTTTCCCCAAACCATTAAAGAAATGCATGATTCTTGTTTATAGGAAAAAGGAAAATAGATAAAATCAGGACATGGTAAAAAAAAAAAAAGTTACCATAATAACCCACCAGGTGGTTCATTTTCCTAAATGTAAGCCCCTCTGTACAGTATTTTTACAATAAAAATGTAAGGTCCGCTCCTGGATAGCGAGCAGACTCCACCCTCCTCGAAGCAAAGTCTCTGCCCAGTACCTGCATTACCTAGGCAACTGGCACACCTGGAAGACGTCACATCTGCATCTGCTGAGGTCACATCTGAATTTGATGTGGCCACACCTTTCTCCACCCATACCCTAGATAAGGCCTAGCCCAGGCCCTGACACTCTCTTTCCTAGGTCTTTCCCAGGTCTTTTCCAGGTCTTTCCCAGCCGCGTGGAGGGCCAACATGGCCTGGTGCCAACTGGAATGATGAATAAACCTACCCCTTACCTGAATACCACATGTGTGGTGCGGTTTTTACTCAGCTACCTCTTTTTAAAAACCTCACAAAAAAAACTTGAGATAACCAGAAAAAAATATCTTAGCTGGATGACTGCCTGTGCCAGACCTGTAAGGTATGACCACATAGAACACAGGGATGAGTTCTGTGCTCCACGGCAGGTATCAAGAGCCTTTTGCCTTTGATCCCCATTCTCTTCCCTAGCACCTTCTTGCCCTTGCTTTCATTAGGTGCCCTGACAGCCCCTGACCCAGGATTCATGGCTTCCTATTTATGGCAGAAGGTATCCTGCATCGGGGCTTGAAGTATGTACTGGCCTGGGCTATCTATCACCACCTGGTGTCCTCGGGACAAACTGTTCATCCTGTACAAGCCAGTCAAGACTGCAATGAAACTCCTGATTTGGGGTTGATCATGGCTCATCTACTAACCAGGCACACATAAGGTGCACTACTGACAGCACGTAAAGTCTCCTAGGATTGTCACGGAGATTCTATGAGATGTATTGAAAGACCACAATTTCCTATAATATATGCTTGAGAAATGGTCCCATACCTTTTTCCCTGTTTTACTCACAGTAGGTATTTTACTGCTCTCCCCTTGCCTTCCTAAATGAGCTTTCACTCTGCAAAAGAAATCAATCAATGCATCAGAAGTCCAAACTGTAGAGGATACATCCTAATGCCACCATCAGCTGAGCCCCAGTCACTTGAACTTCTTAGGGGGTACATGGGATAGTTGAGGATCCATTGACACAGGGCCCTGGTGAGGCTCAAGTCCAAAATTGGTCTTTCTGGGCTAATTAAAGGCATGGGCAAGGCTGTGGTTCTCTAAAGGTTCTTGGGACATGTCTTTTTCATTGATTTTCTCAACTTCTAGAAGCTGCTGTTGGCCTTTTTCTCCATGAAAAAGCCTTGAATCTCTTGGTCTCTGCTGCTTCTATCTAACTTCCCTGGTGCTTGGACTTCCTCTTTTACATCTGAAGGACTTTCATGATTACACTTATTGGACCTACTTGGAAAACATAGGCTCATCATTCTCCACTTCATGCTCCATGTTTCACAACCTTAATTCCATCAGCGCACCCAACTCTTTGTATGTGGACATCTCTGGGGGCCATTCATCAGCTCCTTATCCTCTCTGGGTTCATATCCCATCACCCTCCCCAAGCTCCCTTCATTCCTGGTCTCTTCCTGGAAGAAGGTGCACACACATGGCACAAGGACTGTTCCTTCTTCCAGGAGGGCTTCTCCCAGCCATCATCATGGCTCTGGCTGTCCCCTTTATACAGGGACTTGCAGAAAATAATTCCCTATTCTGAACTCTTTTCTATGCCAACTCAGAGTACATTAATTTGTTTACAGTCATCTCCCACCTGGCCAGAAAGTAAGCTCCAGGGAACTTTAGGTGGACAGTTCATAGTCATTTCCCCAAAGCCTGACAAATAATAGGTGCTCAATAAGTATTTTCTAAGCATAAATAAATAAAATCCAAGATTCAAGCACAGATCTAGAACCAAGTAATTCTTCTAAGCTTGTCAAATGGGAATAAAAAGCTTTAACTTGTGGCTGACACACAGATGGAATTTGGAGAAAATCTTAGCTGTAGGAAAGTAATTGGCAAGGCAGATTTGTTGCCATTGGTAGGTGGGAGGATTGCCCTGGCCAGATGAACCTATGATAAGCATTCCTTATGTGTAGGGCAGGAAGCAGCTGTTGAGGACAGAGCAGACAGGGAGCTGTGAATGAGGGGACCACACCACCTACAGGTAGGGCCTGAGATTGTAAGAAAATCACTGTGGACTCTAGCAATTTGCTGATATCCATGGCAACACGTTAGTTCAAGTAGGCCGGGCAATGAAGATCAAGGGAGAGATCTATCATTTACATGCCTAAAACCACTTCCTAACTGGTAGACTTACAAATACTTACTTGGGGGTAAGAGGTTTTACTGTTGGTTGGGATGGGATGAAATTGTGTTCTTTCAAAGTTGATACAAGAGGAATTAGCCTGGAAGTGAAAAGTTTACAAGCTCTTTGAGTATTCCAGCTAAGTTCTTTCCCACAGGGACCACACCAAATTGGAACAACTGAGATCCTGAAGCTCTGAGATCTTGAAAACCTCAGGCCTGAGGCCATGGCACTTGTCCATTTGTGCCATGTAGTCCTGGGGTGGCAACACAACTCAGTTCCTAGGTCTTAAGGCTCTTTGGTGCCACATGGTACCAAAGCTGTTTGATTGGAAGCTGCACTTCCTCTGTAGCACCAGTGCTAAGACAAGTCCAGCAGCAGCCCAAAGGCACTAGGGAAAGCCACACAAAGCTAGGCTTTCTGGAGCACTTGGAATCTGGCCACAAAACTTACTGCTTGTGAGGCAAAACAGACTACAGATGAGAAACAAGCCCCCTACCCCTCACCCATCCCACATAACCCTTACTTGGATCTTCCTGAAGAGTTCTTGTTTGGTGGCTGAGGGGTCTTGATTAGCTTCCGTGGCCCTATGTTCCATGGGTCCCAGCAGGTGCAGTAGATGAGAGGGTTGGGGTTCATGGCACAGGTTAGGGGCAGTCTTAGCTGTTAATTCAGGGTGTTCTTGAGGTTCTTGCTGTAATACACACAACAGCAGAGTTAAATCACTTAGAATCAAAGCAAAAATACTTAAGAGTTAAACTGGAAAGAACTGTGTGAAGACCCAAAAAAGGCTGGTGGAACTTGAAATGGTATAAGGTCTCCACTATAGAATGTATCCGTTGAACTTGCCTTGAAAGGAATTTAAAAATTTCTATAATCAAGTTCTTTCTGTGACCTGTGTTCATAATTAATGTTCAATTATTGTTATCTAATTTACAGATTAGGTCATAGAGGTAGCAACTTGCAGAGCCAGGGACCAACATATCTCCTTGGTTCCTAAGCCCTGTCCTCCATCAGTCTACAGGAACTCTCCCAGAAGTGAAATTCCCAGCATTTCCCGCACAGAACTCAGTGAAAAATCAGTTGTTTCTCAAACTATGGTGCAAGTGAATCTCCTACCTTCTCATTCCAGGGCACCAACCTGAATTATAGACAGGAAACGCTGCATAAAGACAACCCCACCTCCCAATCACAAGAATAACAGCTATCAGATAAGCAGAGATGCCACTCTTTTCCAGACCTCTATAATTGAAAATACAGTCAGGTGCAGTGACTCATGCCTGCAAAGCCTAACAACTCAGGAGGAAGAGATCAGGAACATTGTGGTTCATAGTCAGCTCAGGCAAAAAGTTAGTGAGACCCCATTTCAACCAGCAAAGCCAGATGTGGTGGTGGGTGATTGTGATACCTTCCTATATGGATTATCATCCAACCAGGCTGGCAAAAATACATAAGGTTCTACCCTACCTAAAATATAACTAAGGCAGAAAAGACTAGAGATATGGCTCAAATGGCAAGCACAAGACTCTGTATTCAAGCCCACCATAAAACGAAACAAAACACAGAATTAGGAATTTTCATTTCAGAAGTATAAGAAAATGGGAGATGACACAGGAGCCAATGTAATTTTGGCACAATAACTAGGACCTTGACCACAGCACACCATGGCCTCTGTTTGAAGAAGGAAGAAAGCCAATTCCAGCCTTATAGTTTCCAAAAGACTCAAGGCTCAGAACTGGTAGATTTCCTGATGTCATTGACAGGCAGTTGACAGACCTGTGCAGCACCTATGGACAATGTCACCTTTTCTCTTTTCCAATCTCAAACATGTCTTTGTGCTGATTCCCGTAGCTGTCTAACTTTACATAGAAAGGGGGATTTGTGGCTGTAATTTGATTATTAGAGTTAGAGAAAGTAGAAGAGTGATGGAGAGAGAGGTCTAAGCCAAGGAATTTGGGCATCCTGTAGAAACTGGAAGGGGCAAAGAAAAAGAAGGATGTCTAGAACAACACAGTTCTGTTGCTTTCTTAAAGGAACATACCTTGATTTCAGCTGTGTTTCGGCTTTGATCTTTAGAACTATAAGATTCTTAATTGGTGGTGTTTTAAGTCATTTGTGGAAAATGGTTACAGAGAAGCAGAAAACATAACATGTTGGGGAAAGTAGTAAGAGATACAGAAACCTAAATAAATAAATTGCAATGACTTCAGGTTTAAAAATTGTATAAGAACGTAAATGTAATTATAGATGATCAAGATGGTGTATATTGATCTAGCTAAAGAATGAGTTGTGACTACATAGGATGAACGGAGGAGAGGATGGAGGAAGGATAAAATAAGAGTTAAATTCTCCTTTACTATACCAAGAAGTCAAGAGAGAAGGTTTAAACTGAAAAGTTTTAAACAAATGGGGACAGCACTGGCTTAGCATGTGTGGTGATGTGTTCTATCCCCAGCACTGACCAAAAACAAACAAACCCAATCCTCCCTCAAACCAAAATTAAAAGTCCAAAAAGCATGAAACATGAGTTTAAGTCAGAAACTACAGGTATGGAGGGTAAGACACAAGCTGACTTTTCCTTAATTTGTTTTTAACAGCATTTGATTTTTAAGTGATATAGGTGGAATATTTCATAAACAATAAACATGGACACCCAAATGTGTTATGAGAAAATCAATACCCAATGGAAGTGTTACAATGATAGCAGACTTAATTTTAACTTCTTGACTGGCTTCAATATTACACTGGAATACATTTAAGAGTCAGCTAAAAAATGAAATAATATTCCTTTTTGTCTATTACATGACCCATGGCTAAAGAACTAGGCGTGTGGTCTAATAGACAAGCAGGACCTGGAGACTAACTTTCCTGACCAGATGAGGACTCTGTGCTCTGAGGATCTGTGGTGATAACTTGTATACTTGTAAATGCTGACACATCCGCACAAATACAAGCTCACACTGTGAGTACTGGCTGCACTTCAGATGGACACTGGAGAAATACCTTGTTCCTTGGTAAGCTTACAGTCAGCAGGACTGTCAACTGATTGCTGAGTGAGCTGTGGTGCTAAGGCAGAAGACCTGACCTTGAGAGAAAGGTGGAGATGGGGGTAGGGACAGACTGGATCAGACACCTGGAACCAAAACGCCATGTAGAATAAAGGTCATGGCGAGAAAGGAGGCCAAGAGGCTGGGTAACTGCCAAAGCCAAAAATCAGGTGACAAGGCCACCCATATAGAACTGTCCTTGCGCTGCTGTGCTTGGCGACCCTGTCAGAGATGTCACACATCAGAGTCAAGGAGGAACAGTCAGGAAAGCAGAGGGACTGCGCCAACCAGGTGAGAAGGTGAGGCCACAAGGGCCTGGGTTTTAGGTGAGAAATCTGGAGGGAGTTCAGTTAGAAAAAACATCATTTCTGCTTGGCCTCAAAGAGGAAAGGCACCAACCCTGACCCTGAAGGTGTATATTCTTGGGGCAGGAAGTGAGAGGTCATAGAAGGCCTACTCCTGGCAACTGTACTTTTTATGATGCGCCTTGCTTATCCAACAGGACTATATAGTTCTTGAAGGCCAGGCCTCTACCCTGACCTTCTCTGTGTCCTACACTGAGCCTGACATGTCCAATTTGTCTTGAAGGGTTGTTTGATAACTGTTTGCTGCCTGACTACTAACCTGGGTGATTGTAATCATAGGAACTAACTCAACACAGAGAAAAGATTATTCCCAGATAAAACTGTCAAAATACATTGCAACCGTCATTACAATTTATTAGACAATAGCACTGGAGTTCCAAATCAGAATATGTAGGTAAAATGCATGTATGACACAATCACTCAGTGGATTTTACATAGATACTTTTATTGTGAAGGTGATGTACAGAGGGGTAATGGGTAGATCTATTTTGAACAGTGTTACCTCCTCCCTTCATTTTCTCCCAGTTTTTCCCCTCTCAATCCCCTTCTTCCCCCCCAATTGCATAGTTCATTTCCAATATAGTATCTAGTGAGTATCAATGCTGAATTAGTTTACCCTTTGTCCTACCAATTTTAAATGATCATTTACTAAGATATTCTTTTTGTTCTGGTCATTGGCTTGAACTCGGATTCTGTCCTTGAGTATTTGCTCAAGGCTAACACTCTACTACTTGAACCACAGCTCTATGTTCAGCTTTTTGGTTGTTCATTGGAGATAAGAGTCTCATAGGCTTTCTTGCCCAGGCTGGGTTTGAACTGTGATCCACAGCTGTCAGTCTCCTAAGTAGCTAGGATTACAGATGGGAGCCACTGGCACTTTGCCAGTCACGAAGATTTAAATAATTATTTAAAATCTGTGAGAGGACTGGGGGTGTATCAGTGGTAGAGCACTTGCCTAGTATATAGAAGGTCCCCAGCACAGAAAAGAAACAAAAAAGAACACAACCTGTAGAAACATAAAGTCTTATAAAAGATATAAAAAGATGTGAATACATTGGACACAATTATATGAACGTATGCATCTATAAGACAAATGTTAGAAAAAAACATTATAAAATGAATTTTGGCCAAAAATGTTAGAATTATGATTCTCCCTCCCACCCATGACATTCTTAACTAATATTTTGCTTGGGCTTTGAAATCAGGTGGGTCTGACTTTGATGGAAGCTCTTCTGCTTAGGAGTAGGACTGTACAAAAACTTAACTTTTCTGAGTCTTAGTTTCCACATCTACAAAATGGGGTCTTGGAAATCACTAATCCGGAGGTGGTCTGAGGTGCTAGGGGAGGAATTAGGACAAGGTGACAAAGAGCACAATTGGAGGTCTTGGGCAATGACTAACATGGGCATAGAGGTACAATATTTGAATAACTGGGCTTACCGGTTAAAGTTCAACCCTTGACTTCAGTATCCTCTCACTGAACCATTGAGAAGTCTTTTCTTGGGCCAGGAGGGGGGGGGTAATCTGTGTGTGTGTGTGTGTGTGTAAGGATGATTTTTCCTACTTTGTCTTCCTTTTCCGTATTTCTCCCTGATAATTTACACGAGACTCACTATTTGTGTGCCCACAGAGCCTGCCAGAGAGGGTCTCTGGTTAGTGTAAGTAATCAGCAGGAAACATTTTATAAATCTTTAACAAAAAAGCTTACCTTACACAGTTCAAAGATTTTTCTTGTGTGATTTCTTCTCAAAGTCAAGTGTCTTAATGAGACTTAAAACTGTTAAGACACTAAAGCAGAAACTCACAGTATATGTAGTGAACACAGACCTTCAGTGAATCCAGTTGGAGATTCTTAAAAAGGCTGAGCTGGCACGAGTAGGAACTTCTAGAGAATCTACTTGTCTCTTGGCATTGGGTGAAAGCCAAACTACAGGAGAAAATCAACCCTCCATTTAAAGACTTTTTGACTGGGCCTGATGAGAGGTTTATCCTTAAGATAGCAGTGAAGGTTTGTTTCTTTTATTGCTATGGAAACAGAATGGCAGCTCCTCATTGGCTCAGAGAACCTTGTTCTTAAAGGTTGGAGAAACAGCCAGTTAAATTCTCCACAACTCAAATCAGTGCCTACCCCGAACAGCAATGAACTCACATTAGGTTCCCATTTTCTTAATCAACCACAACAAAATAGAATTATTCAGAGCAAACAAAATTAAACAACACTACTAAGCTTTCTTGGCCAATAGCCAGAGTTGCCAGCAAGAATTTGTAATGGATTTTAGGTTCCTCTGTCACTTTTTCATTGAAACCTACAACTCAAAAATAGGTTATTTTTCTCCTTGAATTTAAAGCTTTCAAATCAATAAGTGTACAAATTCTCTATGGCAGGAGTTTTTTTTTTCCTATTACTAATGGTTTCAGTTTTTTTTTCTCATTGTAGAGAAAGTATTTGCTGGGTATGGTGGCACAAGCTTGTAATCGTAGCACTCAGGAGGCTGACATAGGAGGATTTTGGGTTCAGGGCCAGCCTGAGGTACATAGCAAAACTGTCCCACTAAAAAATAAAAGCAACAAAGAAAAAATGAAGAATATTTGTCATTTATAATGTATGTTTTACAATAAAAAGTTTCATGCTGCAAGGTGCTTGTGGCTCATGCCTGTAATCTTAGCTACTCAGGAAGCTGAGCTCTGAGGATTAGAGGCAAAGCCAGCTCAGGCAGGAAAGTCCTCAAGACTCTTATCTACGATTAATCACCAGAAAAACAGAAGTAGAACTGTGGCTCAAAGTGGTAGAGTGCTAGCCTGGAGCATAACAACTGTTTAGGGACAGCACCTACACCCTGAGTTCAAGCCCTCTGACCGACCAAAATAAAAGTTTCATGCTATTTCTCTTTTCAAAATGAAGCTGATTGCAATGCACTAAATTGTTTTTATGATCTAATAGGTCACAACTCACAGCTTCTCAACCCTTATTCTAAATTCATCCATCCATTCAACTATTGTTTTCTGCATGCTAGACATTGTGGATAGGTGTGGGTCATACCTCAGTTCCTGTGCTCACTTGAGCCTAGAGACTAAAGGGACACAATGAATTATTTCAACGAAAGTGCAACAAACCTTACATTGGGAGACTCACCTGTTGCAATTTGAAGCAAGAATTTTTCTTCTAGTTAGACAACAATTTTAATTAGAAAAGGAATCAGACTAGATCTGCATACTGGAAAGATCACTGTGGTTGGAAGGTATAGAAATGATTGGAAGGGTCAAGACAGGAGTCTGTGTCAGAGGTCCAGAGAAGACTTAGAGAGGCCCCTCTGAGAAGCAGAGGAGCATGGACTTGCTGATGGATGGGATGTCAGGGTGAACAGGGAAAGAACAGCATGATGATTCTAATGAGTTGTCGGTGGTGCCATCTACTGACACAAGAAGGGGCCAGGGAGATGAACAGGTTCAGGGTGAGACCATGAATTCAGTTAATAAGACATAGACCTAAGATGCTATAAATAGGAGAAGAGTTTAAGAGTTTTTTGTTTAGTTTTGTACTGGGCCTTTGAACTGGGCCTCATGCTCTTGCTTAGATTTTCCCTTAAGTCTGTTGCTGTCACTTGAGCCATTCTTTGACTTCTAGATTTTTGGTGGTTGGAGATTAGGAGTCAAAGAAGACTCTTAAACTTCACAAAATGTTCATAATTTAATAGAGATACTAGCCTTAAAACTATCTAAAATTATATTGTAAAGGGGAAAAGAGAGTATCAAATGACCTTTTGAGTCCAACACATTTCCATTTAGTTTATTTGGAACAATTTGTAAATAGTCCACATAAATAGCAAAAGAATCGTTTCACACTTCCTGAATTTTCTCAGACTTAGTATTTGTTCATCAATGATGTTAGATTCTATTTTTTGTTGCTGTAATTTTGCTCAGGAGCTATTACAGACATAATTCTATTTTTAAAAAAGACATGAAATACAGTATGATCTGTTTACCACTTACAACTATTAGTAGGTTTTTTGTTTTGTGTGCTGGTTTACTAAGTAGAGGTTATTTTCTACCAAAAAGAGCATAAAGGAAAGACTTAGTGCAGAATTATCTGTGTAAGGGTTGGGACAAAACCACAGTGAGACACAGGAAAATTTAAGAAGCTACTTGTATTTATTATCTGATTTACATTTGACAAAGCAATAGAAGGTGCACAAAGAGCCGTTTGACAAAGCAAAGTTCCGGGTATCACATAATGTATTTCCCTGGCTTCTGCCCATTCTCAGGGGCTGTGCTGGGCACTGTGGCTAGTTATGGTCTGGCACCATGGGCATGGTGCATTCCGATACAGGTGCCTCAGCCTGTGACAGTAGCCAGTGGACTACTGACAGCCTGAGTTGCAATCTCAGAAGTTACTGCTATAGCAACCTAGTACTAATTACATCAGAAAAAATAGTGAACTTTGAGTATATAAAATATGCCTCAATAAGAGAGAACTGGCTCTTGTGAGTTGCCACTAGCTTTTTTCCTCCCTCGAGAAAATTTGATCACTCTGTCAAACCAAGGGCAATAATACAAAACTTAAAACAAAAAACTAGGTTAACAATAGTCATTAACTTCTCCCTAAAGGTCCCTATCTAAGATCTATTTACGTAAGATTTTGGATCTTCATAATTCAAGAGAATTTTGAATTCTGAGTTCAGTAAAATGATATCTCCTACTAGGTAACAGGGAATTTAGAAATACCTGAGGGATCGTCACTGAAAATATTAGCAGAGGAAAAAGAAGGTTGTGTTTTTCCCATGTTGGCATTAAAAACAAAACAAAACAAAACAAAAAACAGGGGCTGGGAAGGTGGCTCAGTGGTAGAGCGCTTGCCTTGCATGCATGAGGCCCTGGGTTCGATTCCTCACATAAGAAAAAAGAAAAAAGCCGGAAGTGGCACTGTGGCTCAAGTGGTAGAGCGCTAGCCTTGATCTGAAGAGCTGAGGGACAGCACCCAGGCCCAGAGTACAGGCCCTATGACTGGACCCTCCAAAAAAACAAAAACAAAAAAACACACATCCACCTGATACTACAGAAGAACTGAAATGTGAACAGGATTAAAGCATAACAGGTAACCCAAGGAGAAATTTGCTGTAAGACTCCAGTTCTTCTTCTTATACTATGCAGACAGTTCTGTTCTAACAGGGATTCTCAGGCTATTTCAAAAATGTTTTTAGGTGGAAATTTCAAAAACAGCAAAACCCAGTTTTAAGACAGGATTCATTTCTAGAGACAAGCACATACCAGAATATAATTACTGTGTTTCTGACAGAACATTATAATCAATCTAATTTTTCAAAAACCCAAATTTGGTTTACTTAACCAGATGTGCTTGCTTGCCTCCTAGCATATCGCTCTGCCTCTGGTGATCATTTAGGCATTATTAAAAGCATACAAACTGTATTTAATGTTGAACACAACAAAATCTAGCTTACTTTATAGTGATTTATATTCTATATACATATATACAGTACACATATGTAAATCTGATCATTTAACACTCAGTAGTACTATTATTGCATCCTATATTTTTGTACTTCCCGTGGTTTTTTGGAAACTGTAAATGCCCAGGCAACAGGAAGCTTACTTTCTTAGGAAACAATAAAAAAATCTTTGAGTTGGCTAAAGGAAGCACCCTGGAGTTACTTTAGAGAGTAAAAATTCAAATGCTAATTTTTTTAAAAGGTGGATTAGAATATTTAGAAAACTTCAGCATTAGGAATTTTGTTTTAGGGCCTGTTCCAGTCAGGGTAACTTACTGACTTGGAACCCTTTATGAGCATGTGCGTGCTGACAGCAGCTTGACTAAGTGAAGGGTGAAACAGGAAGAGGATTTCTTTTCATTCAATTTTATTTTTGAGAAATTTACTTTAACAAGTTTTTTTTTTTTTTTTTTTTTTTTTTTTTTAATTTAATTTAATTTTATTTGTGAACATACTGTACAGAGGAGTTACAGTTACATGGGCAGGATAATGTGTACATACTTTAACAAGTTTTATTAAAAGACATTAATATACTTCTGTGCTAAACACAAAAGCTCTCACACATTCTTACCATTGCATGAATGTTGGTCAGGAGGATAGAGGAAGCACCCTCCTGGCCAGGGTAGAACTCTAGGAACAGGAATCGAGAATTCTTCAGAAAATTGCCTTTTAGTTAAGTCAGGACAAAGGAGAAAAGTTACTAGCAAATTAAGCACCAAAAGATCAAGCAATATACCTCCTTGTTTTCAGAAACAAAATCATGATTTCCTCCTCATCTCTGAGTCATGTCTTAGGTAAAGATATTTCTTCTTTAGCATTACTCCCTGGCCTAAGCCATGCCATCTGGTGAGGAGCTGACTCTACTGGCAACACTAGAAGAGACCAGTGTCTTCCCAAGTTACAGCCTGTGTCATTCAGCTGAATGCAGAAACCTAATCTTATGGTCTCACTTTGTTTCAGTTTGTAAAAAAAAAGAACATGAGAGACAAAGAAGCCTTATCTCTCTCACAAAAAAGTTGGTTATCTAATTCCACAGATGCCAAGAACAAGGCAGATATGTTTGGATTTATATTAGGAAAAATACTAAGCAGAAATATCACACTCTCAAAGCAAGCACCTGGGTCTTACTTCAGTTTATAATAATTTAATGTGCCTGAGAATTTTTGTGCAAATACATGTCATTTTCCATTAAAAATATGCATAGTGCACTTTGGAAAAAGTCACAATGAACTTTCCTTACAAAGAACTTACATATACATACAACTTAACATTAATTCCTACAGATTGCACTTCTGGTTTAACCCCTTTAGTCTCCAAGGAAATATCAGAGATATGCAACTATGTATTCCTTGGCCACTGTATTATCCAGAAGAAATAGTCTAAAAACAAGTTTCCTTGGTTTCTTAAAGTAAATCCCTCCCAACTGCCACTCAAACTGAAGTTTTTCTGATATTGTATAAAAATACAAATTTAAGAAAGTGAGTTATTTTTCTTTTGGGGGGCTAGCCACGTGCTCTACCACTGGAGCTATGCTCCCTAGCTCCCCAAATGGACCCAAAGAATGTTTGTGCTCCCAGTGGTTCAAAGGCCTAAAAACAGGAAAAAGCAAATCTCCACTTTGGCTATAATGAAAAATATCCAATTCCTTGTTTTGCCAATGCTCTGAGTAACCCAGTAGCTAAATTCATAATTTGACCAGGCACTAGCAGAGGAACAGGAGTCTCACCTGAACTCAACATGCCAAGCCTTTGGGACAGTTTCTAGTGGCACAGTCTAAACTGCTCCTTTTCTTCCCACTCTTCTAAGCAGGTTCTCCCTGATTATGTTTTCCAGAAGTGAAGTTTATAGTATTTCTGGCATGTTTCAACAATCCTGAAGTTATTTTCTGTTCATTTTCAAGACAAGAAAACTCAGCTGAAGAAGTGTACTAAATCTTTCTTTCCTGTCTCCAAGCATTTCGTGACCCATTCATTTATACTTCACTCCTGTGGACCTCATCCTAATTTTGTTTCCATTCCTCCACCTCCTCCCTCCACATTCACAATCCTTCTGCAACATTCCTTTTCTTTCAATCAGACTCAATTTCACGTATCAGTGCATGTCTATCCTTCATGTGCTAACACAATAACACACAGAAGAGGTCAGTTAGAGCCATGCTTCAGTCCTCCTTCAGGATACCCATTTTGGGTGAGGCTGTGCAAACTGGGGCACTGAAGCTACCCATCATGACGGGAAGACTCTGGTTCCTCCTTAGTCCACCCAATAAATTGCTACCTGAATTTAAATAAATAACAGAGTCTGGTTTTTGAAAATTGATTTCTGTCTCCTGGCTTTTCCCATTCTCCTGGGGATCAGGGGTCTTGACCACTCTGGCTATCCCCAATCTCTTCAGTCTTTCCACTAAGTTCATCTTCAACTGGCCAACATCAGGAGGGTTCCAGGAAGGCCGCAAACCATACATCTCTTGGAGGAATGTTTCAGTAGGGCGAGAGGCCAGAAAATTTTCAGAGAGATGCATTCGGGACTCAAAGGGAAAGGGAGACGGGCATGGTGAGTGAGATGGAGAATTTGGTGGTGTTAAAGGGGTAGCCACAGCTTTGGGTAGGGGGTTCTCTGAAATTGAGCTGTGGTATACTTTAGCAGAAATGCCTCGCTCTTGGAGTAGCTTGGCCAAGCTCATGGTGCTGCTGAAGGTCACAGTAGAATCTCGTCGGTTTGTGATGGATTCACCAGTGCTGAGTCGGTAGGACATGGCAGGAGACTTCATAGCTGTATTTGGCGAACTGTTCCCATTACTTCCATGGGACAGTGAAGGGAACCCAGAGCTGAAAGGGAAAATGGGAGGAAGTTTTAAAGACTAAAATCAGCTTGGATGCAATCATAATTTGAGGCTTGCTCAAGCAATAAGTTTGAGAGATCCCATCTCAACCAATAAAGAGCTGGCATGGTGGCATTGTCATTCCAGCAACCTGGCAACAAATACTGCCAGTATTTAATATGCTTCAATACAAAAAAAGCAATATGTCAACTTATAAAGGAAGCAAATTTGACTCCTTGCTTAATTCTAGTAGGTCCTATCTACTCTCTATGCCCAGTCTCTAAACTCTTATTTCTACTTTACTACAGAATGAACTTGATTTTTCTTCTCCAAACTGTGTATCTCATAGGGTGGTGTCTATTTGTGTTGAAAGTCCCTTCAAGAAACAATTTTATAACCAAGTTATATTGGTGATTACAGGAACAATACAGAACAATCACAGTTGTGTTCATCATACGCTTTACCTAGATCTTTACTGGATATCATCTAAATGCTTCCCTAAGCAATTGATTCACTGCTGTCCTACAGACATTCTGAATCATAACCTTACTTCTCTCTCAAGTGGTAAAAGAAAGTTAAGAATGGAATTCCTGGATCATTTTAGCAAGTACATAAGACTTTATTGTACAATTCATATACTAGCTTTTATCGTCTACCCATTTTGTACTCTTACTCCTAATTCCCTTTCATATCTTCTTCCTTTATTTCTAGGCCACCTTATACCTACAATGGACAATTTATTTTCTGAAAGCTACCTTGAAGAAAATGCCACATTTTCTTCAAAGCAACACAATAGTACAATTTGCTGCATGGCAGAATAGAAACTGCTTCAATATGAGTAAGAGAATCCTGTTAGCAAATAACGTGGCCTTGTTCAGAGACATCGGGCCTTTGCCTTAGCTTCTTGGAGGCAATCTGTTAAAATGCTGGGACTGTTTTTGCTTAGAATTGGCCTTGTCACACACAGTCATCTTATGTGCTTTCAGATGATGGTTGGGCAATGCACAGTCAAGTTGGAGAATGGAGTTCAACCACAAGTGTAACTATCCAACCATTCCTACACAATGAAGCTCCAATAAAATCTCTGAATGGTGATGCTTAGGTGAACTTCCCTGCTTGAAATATTCCACATATACTCACACACTGGTACCAAGAGGAATAATGGATCCCAAGAAAAAGAGAAACTTCAAGTGTAGAACCCCAGAGTCTTTGCTCTATGCATTTCTTCTTTTTGATAAGGCTAACCTTGGTTATAGCTTCAGCTAGGTCATATTAACTACAACTTTCTCTGCCTCAGTTTCTTCATTTTTCATAATACAAACTCACCTGTGCTACGTCCTCACAAGAGTTATTACAACCACAAAATATTAATTAAAATTCTTGGAATTAAAATGAAATTATTAATTAAAATATTTAATAATGGGATGAATTAAAAATTAAAAAGAAATTCCTGTGAGGCCCCAGATTTCCACGGCCTTCTTACCTAGGGGTAACCTGGGTGATATCAGAGGGATGTAATATTCTACAGGTGGTGAAGGTGAATGTTGAGTTCGTGCATGACAGACACTTTCCTGGGTTTGAGGTTGAAACTGAAATAGAGATTTTTAAAGAGCCAAACACAAAATTGAAAGACTAGGTTAATAGGGTAACAAGCTCATTGTTTATTAATAATCCAGCATGTATCAATTGCTTCTTGAAGTAAAAATCCCCGAATGCAAAGGAAATATACATAAATACTATGCCAGTATAAGATGGTTAGTATACAGCCAAATCCTTCAATACTTTAAAACTGCAAATAAAAAAGGCATAAAAACAGCTTAGAAATCAGAGAAAACATATTCTGAAAGAAACGCATTAAAAAATTAAAAAGACTTAGTCATCCAAAATACTGAGTCAAACTATTTCTGTGGTTCTCAAAGTGTAGACTTTGTGGCTGCCCACAGGTAAAACGAGGATGGGGATGAGGAGCTTTGGTTTTTAATGGCGTTGACATCTGCAGCTCCTTAGCACAAATCAGGACAGTGTCATCAAATTATACCAAGTTCTTCATTGTTACACACACATAGTATTTAATAAAAGTCAAATTTACTTAAAAATGTCCTTTATGAGGCAGTAAAAATTAACCACTAAGTCTTGAGTCTTGGTCCTTCAGTCTTTTACTATGCTGTACAGTGAAATGAAAAGTATCTGTGAAGCATTCCTGCAGCATACTGATCGACATGGCGGTTATCTAGAGGAAAAGCATGTGGACAGCTGAGTTGAAATTTTGTCATGGAACACCAGCTGACTTGCAAGAGCAACTAACAGAGAAATTATAGTAATTTAGACTTAGATTTTTGGCAGGTGTTATTTTTTCCCTTCTTTTTTAATGAATGAACTATGCCTGTTCCTCCAAGAAAATCAGTTGACAATATTTTCTGCCAGTGACAAATTTGAGCTTTTAAGTCAAAATTATGGTTTTGGAAAACTTGTATCTATTGAAAGCTTAAAAGCTTCCTAATACTTAAAACCTTTTCTCTTGAGACACCTGGTGGCTTTAATGTGATTTAAATATATAATAAAAATGTGTCAACATTTGGAAGACTGACATAACTCAGTGAATCAGTGTTTTCTTTCTTTTTTTTTTTTTTTTTTTGGGTCCAGTCATGGGGCCTGAACTCTGGGCCTGGGTGCTGTCCCTCAGCTCTTCAGCTCAAGGCTAGCACTCTACCACTTGAGCCACAGCGCCACTCTGGCTTTTTTCTTTTTGCTTATGTGGTGCTGAGAAATCGAACCCAGGGCCTCAGGCATGCAAGGCAAGCACTCTACCACTGAGCCACCTTCCCAGCCCCATGAGTCAGTGTTTTCTTAATGACCAATGTATAATACCAAGCCACGTATGAGAAAAAGACAATTTTAATGTAGACAAATACGAAAACTCATTGATGGGTTTCCAATTCCACATTGCTATAAATACTTAAATTCCTACTTACCAAGTGTAATATACAAAAATATCCATAAATACCTGAAAAGACTAATCTGACTACATGTTAGTATGAGGCCATATTTTCTTCAAATTGTTGAACCCAAACACTACAATATTACAATAGGCTGAATGAAGAAGCTGAATGGGAAAACAAGAGACTTATAAAATTTTAAAATAGAACTATTTTCCTCACTACTTAAAATATACCTATTCTTCATAAAACATGGCATTACTATGTAGCAGTTAAGTGAGTTAACATTTTAATATTTTCTCAATTTTGATTCCTTTTTTTTTTTTTTTTCGGGGTCCGGTCATGGGGCCTGAATTCTGGGCCTGGGCTCTGTCCCTCAGCTCTTCAGTTCAAGGCTAGTGCTCTATCACTTGAGCCACAGCACCACTTCTGGCTTTTTTCTTTTTGCTTATGTGGTGCTGAGGAATTGAACCTAGGGCCTCATGCATGCAAGGCAAGAGCTCTACCACTGAACCACCTTCCCAGCCCCTCAATTTTGATTCCTAACATAGTATATATGAACAGATAAAATCCATATAGATAAACCATTTGGAATTTTCAAGGGCTTTAAAAAGTGTAAAGAGATCCTGACACCAAAAGGTTTGTGAACCACTGATTGACTGGTCTAACTCTTCTGTCCAACTTATGCAAAGCTGAAAAGAGAAAAAAAAAAGAATGTCACTAATACTATACATTTTCATTATTTGTACTCTTCTCACCTGTAACTAGTCCACCAGCTGAAGTAATAGGGGGTAAAAAGATCCCTGTTACTGGCTTGGATACTGCAGATGTTGTCTCTACTTGGAGAGGTGGCTGAACTTGAAAAGTGATACCCTCCTCTTCATCCTCCTCTAAATCTGAGATGTGATAGATGGTATCCTTGGGCAACTGGGTAAAGCCTTTAGTAATGACACCTGGCCGTGGATCAAGAATGGTTCCCAAGTTTGGTTGAGCCAGCTGCTGCCAATGATGCAGAGTTTGTGATCCTGAATATACAATTACAAGAATAATGTTTTACATGTTCCACAAATCTCAATTCTTAAAATAGAAGCTACAATTTCTATGTTTAATAACAATAATGAAAGCAATAACTCCTTGTTTGGTCTTGATATTTTGTTAAAACTTGCAAATTAAAGTTCTCTGTAGAAGACTGACAAGATATTGAAGGCACTAGTAATAATCTGTTTCAAAAGTTAACCTTAAAAAGGGTAGCTAAAGAAGCAGAGAGCTGGAAGGTTTGGTTTTGGTTTAGTGGAATGCCTCTCTGTCTGGTAGGTGAGAGACCCTCAGTTCAAACACCAGTACTACAAAATAGAAAACACTCTTAACAAAAAGTAGGATGCTGAAGCAGTGAGAAGCATAAATATCCTTCAGAGGCGACAGAAGTGGGCTGTATTATGATGGCAGAAAATCAATACTTATCTGGCATGGCCTATGAATTTAAAAGCTGAAGCCATGCTCCTGAGTTTGAAGACAAATTTTCAGTAGCTTCTCTGTGTACTTCTCTACACTAGTCGTAGATCCTGGGATCCCAGGACCCCAGGGAGATGAATGTGATAGGCGAGGGTATATGCCCTTTGTTCTGTTCAGCAGGACCCTGACAAACACTTGCACTAGATCCAACTCTAATCATGTCACTACAGCCTACATCAAACCTCAAAGGTTACAGAACCTTTGAGTTTGAGGGCTTGCTATCAACTGACTACTCAAAATTTTGTTTGAATCAAAAACTCTTAATGTCCAAGATTCATTTGAGTGCCCTCAATATCTCATAAAACAAAGATGTTTAGTTTGAATTCAAGTTCTATCTTAAAAAGCAAATGGAACTAAAAATACAGCCAATTATACTTCTTAGGTAAAGAGTTCTTTTATTGCAAAGAAAGTTGGAGATGATGTACATCATTCCCATTTATCTTGCCATGGAAATTGCTATCAATGATGTTTCTTAGTAAAGACAAGGAAAGACTCCCTACTCTTCACTCTCACGTTTACATTAAAAACATCAAGACAAGAATGATGGTCGATGACTTGGAAGAAGCAGATCTCTTCATCTACTAATTTTCTACAAAGTGCCACAATGCACTACCACCCAAATAGCAAGATTTGAGGAAAACAAAGATATCTTCTGCTCATAGTGTAATAAGCCACATGACTCACAAAAGGCCTTTGCTGACATTACCTTCAAGGGGCTTGACAATCTGTAGTTTCTCTGGCATAAAGCCTCGAAGACAACTGGCACTGCTGAGGTCAGTGATTTCCGATTGGTCAGTACAGAGAGAGGCAAGGCTCTCTGTGGGGGTATCACGGCCACTAACTCCTTCTTTCTGGTCAGCCAGAACTTGGATCCTCCGTTGCCATTCTTCAGCAAAGAAACGCTTCTCACTTAAGTAATTCTGTCTTCTCAGGCTAAGGCGATGTAAAGCTGTAGCTAAATCACTGTCTTCAGAGGGTCCTAGTTGGCTGGGTGACTGAGAATTTCTTTGGGAAAATTATATTCACTGATTAGATCTGAAGGTCATGAGCACAATGTAGACCTGTCTTTTTTGAGATCAGTTTCTTTTTCTTTTGTCATTCGTGGGACTTGAACTCTGGGCTTGAGCGCTATCCCTCAGCTCTTCAGCTCAAGGCAAGTGCTCTACTGCTTGAGCCACAGCACCACTTCCAGTTTTCTAGTGGTTTACTGAAGATAAGAGTCTCACGGACCTTTCTGCCCAGGCTGGCTTTGAATCATGATCCTCAGATCTCAGCCTCCTGAGTAGCTAGAATTACAGGCATGAGACACCGGCGCCCAGCTTGAGATCAGTTTCTTAAAAACTAAAAAGAATTTTTTAATGAGATATCTATCCCAAATAATAATCAGCACAAAGAAGGGTGCAAGAATGGCTCAGCAGTAAAAGTGCCATGGCTATAATCCTAGATACTCAAGTGGATGAAATCTAGAATTGCTATTCTCAGCTAGCCCAGGAAGACAAATCTGAGAGACTCTTATTTTCAAATAACCAGCAAAAAGCAGGTACTGGAGGTATGGCTCAAGTGGTAGAGCACCAGCCACTGAGTGAAAAGAGCTGAATGAAAAGATAAAATGTTAAGTTCAAGCCCTAGTATCAGCACCAAAAAAAAAGGGAAAGAGAAAATGCTACCCATTAGACTCTTACATGTCCTTACTTGAACATAACAATTTAAATAATATTAATATGTGAGCCAGGCATGGTAGCACACCTCAGCATTCCTCAGCACTTGGGCGACAGAGGCAGGAGGATCATGAAGTTTGGTGAAAGCTAGCTTGGGGTATGTAGAAAGTTTGAGACTAGTGTGGGCTATGTGTTGAGACTGTCTCCACAAAAATATATCAAAAAATTTGCTTGAGCCATTTAATTCTCCACAAATGTTGCACAAAAATTAAATTTGTTTAATATTACATTTTCATTGTTCTCTTTTCTCTTACACACTTTCACTTTTCTTTTTTTTTTGGTCAATCATGGGGCTTGAACTCTGGGCCTGAGCACTGTCTTTCAGCTCTTCAGCTCAAGGTGAGCGCTCTATTACTTGAGCTACAGTGCCACTTCCAGTTTTCTGGTGGTTTATTGGAGATAAGAGTTTCACGGACTTTCCTGCCCGGGCTGGCTTTGAGCCATGATCCTCAGATCTCAGCCTCCTGAGTAGCTAGGATTATAGGAATGAGCCACCGGTGCCCGGCCTACACTTTTACCTTTCAACTGTTGTAAATTGAATTATTTTAGAACTGATATAAAGGGAAAGGTTGTAGTTGTTCTGACCACTGCTGTGAATTTACACACACTTATTTCAGTGCCTCACCTAAGGTAACTGTGTAACAGTAAGGCTGAGTGGACATATGAAGAGCTACAGTAGACATAGAACAGTGCTCATGGAAATACAGCCAAAACCTTGCATGTTGGATTTCTGCATCAGTAAAGATTTCTGGAGTTGCCAAGGTCAAGCTTTCTGCTGACTGTCCAGTAAAGCTGTTTAACTTCTAGTTAGATAGAATTCAGTGAAATGAATTAATGAAAGAATAAAAAAAGACTAAGTTTAAATAAATATGAAATTATGAGCACTTTGGCCCTTGGCAATATGCATGCAAGCTTATTGTTTATTCCCAAAGCACTTGAAAGAGGTGAAGGTTATGAAATGGGTTATGAGAAAATGAAATTTGACAATTTATGCAAATGACCAAGTGGATTCAAAAAAATCAAACTGTTAAGATGCAGATTTAGACTTAAACTTTGCAATACTGAAGTAGTAAAGAATTCTGGTAAATACAAGATGCATTTTGAATATAACTAAATTTAGCCTTTTTACTTCAAAAACTTTCATGAATTCAATGAGGAATCTTCCAAATAATGAGGTAGGGCATGAAAATTGAATGCATGCTGACAGGATCAGTACCTTCATAGGTCAGCACAAAGTCATGCAGAGTTTGCATGTGTAATCTGGTATGCCAACACCACAAGAAAAGTAGAATTTCTGCTTAACCTGTGTTTCTTACCCATGAACTTCCTCCAAATTGTTCCCCTGGCTCAGGAGTGTTTTGTCCTCTGTTTGCTGTATACCAGATTCAAAAGGTTTTGCTGTCATGATGACACTGGCACGGTTGGAGCCTGGGATGGGTAGCAGAGTGGGGAATGAGACAGAACGGCCTTGTGTGTCATTAGCAACCTTGACAGTATCAAATACCCGTTTCTGTTGAGCCCTGTGGAAAAAAGAGGCATTCAGTACCATCACTATAAGTGTCAAAAGTATTTCGAAGTGCAAGCATAATTCATTAGCAATAAAATCATCCTGAATAGTCTCTGAAGTTTATGAGAAATAAGTAGAAAATAAACTTTGGCACATAAAGTTAAAACTTTCATAAATGAAAAAGAAGCCTGAATAGTAAGCAATTTACCACTGACCTTCCTGATATTTCCTCCATATATTTATTGTTTAGTGTGACTAAATTTTTTTTTTTTTTTTTGGTCAGTTGTGGGGCTTGAACTTGGCTTGGGCACTGTCCCTGTGCTCATCAGCTCAAGGCTAGAGCTCTACCACTTGAGCTATAGCGCCACTTATTTATTGTTTAGGATTGTGGCTTTTTTGTTTTTGAGGGATGCAACCCAGGAACCTGCACATTCTAGGCAAGTAGTCCACCACTGAATTGCAATATTCTGGTCCTGTGGTTTCTCTTTCATTTGCCTTCTTATGACTGAGAAATAAGCATTGTGATATATACTTTTTTTTTTTTTGCCGGTCATGGGGCCTGAACTCTGGGTTTGGGCGCTGTCACTCAGCTCTTCAGCTCAAGGCTAGCACTCTACCACTGGAGCCACAGCACCACTTCCGGCTTTTTCTGTTTATGTGGTGCTGAGGAATCGAACCCAGGGCCTCATGCTTGCAAGGCATGCACTCTACCGCTGAGCTACCTTCCCAGCCCCATACTTACTTTTTTTTGAAGAGAGAAGAATCCTCATCCAAACTCAACTTTTTACGCATGGTCCCCTCGATCTCGGCTGCTAAAGATTCCTAAGAAAAAGTTTGAGATTCTTAAAGTGATTATTCCCTGAAATAAATTAAGAGTTTCCATATTTAATTTTTTAGCATTACAATAAAAGAAAAAGACAAAAAACAGCCCAACAGGCTAAATTTTTGAGGAAGGGAAATACAGAGACAATGTGGAAAAGAAAATTTCTAGGGTGTGGGGCAGTACTGGAGAGTAAACTCAGCCTTACTTGAGCCATGCCCTAAGCCCTTTTGGGTTTGGAAAATTTTCAGGTAGTGTCTTGTGCTTTTTGCCAGGCTGGTGTCAGACTGCAATCCTCCTGAGATCTCTACCTCTCAAAGAGCTGGGCTTAAAGATGTGATCCACTGTTCCAGGTGAAATACAACCTTTGAACAAGAACCAACTATCTTCATTAATTTTTTTTTTTTTTTTGCCCATCATGGGGCTTGAACTCTGGGCCTGGGTGCTGTTGCTCGGCTCTTCAGCTCAAGGTGAGTGCTCTACCACTTGAGCCGCGGTACCATTTCTGGTTTTGTGGTGGTTTATTGGAGATAAGAGTCTCACAGACTTTTCTGCCTGGGTTGGCTTTGAACCGCTATCCCCAGATCTATCTCAGCCTTCTGAGTAGTCAGGATTACAGGTGTGAGCCACCGGCGCCTGGCTTTCATTAAATATTTTCATAGGAAAGCAATAGAAAAAAACAAATACAAACAAAGGAGGAGGCTACAATGCTTGATAAGAAATGTACTCATTATCTTGCCCATGTAATTGTAACCCCTCTGTATAGTATTTTCATAATAAAATATTTAAAAAAAACAAATACAATAAACTATTATATGTGAGAAACACAAAAAGAAATGGCTTGCCAGACTAAGGTAAATGGATGAATCTGTGTAATAATTTCTTCTTGCTTTTCTGTAATTTCTAACTTACTAATATTTAACAAACATATATAGTTTTTAGAGTATTAGAAAAATAATTTAGAAGTGAAAAAGGTTTTTTTCTTCCACTGGCCAGGGAAGAAAATTCCACTACCATGGATGACACGCTCAGTGTTGCTAAGCTGAAGATAACTGAGGCTGGAGGTAGTAGAGTGGACCTCACGACTTTTAATATATGTGTATGAGTATAGATATTGATGAAAAGACAGACATGTGTGAGTGTATTATAAAATACATATATTTCCTAGCTTTATCCTCAGAGGGCCTAGCAGCAATAATACTCTAGCAGTAATAGGTACACCTAGCATCAGGTCTTAGATTCAGAGGAGAATTCTTCAGAGCTCCAGGAGAAATGGCTGATGCTAGGGCTGGGACAAAAAGTACATACAAACTTGAAGGAGATAGCACTGGCCAAATCTGGGACAATCTGAGTAATGAAACAATAATAAAAATAGCTCATAAGCCACTGAATATAATCAGAATCCATGAATACTTATGAAGTGAGCAAATAATTAAAGTAAATGGGACAGGAAAAACTCAGGGGTAGAAATATCAATCCTAAAGTTCATTAAGTACAAAAGATCTCAAACAGCCAAAGCAATTCTGATCAGAAAGATCAATACTTGAGCTATCATACTACTTGACTACAAATTAGACTATAAAGACACAGTAACAAAAACTAGCATTGGCACAAAAATAGACAAGCAGAATGTAAGTATATAAGCCTACACAGTTATAATGGGTTGATATTTTTTACAAAGATGCCAAAAACCTACACTGGAGAAAAGACAGCTTGACAAATAGTGCTGGGAAAACTGTCTATCCACGTGTGGGTGACTAAAACTAAATCCCTATCTCTTACCTTGTGCTAATATAAATTAAAACTGGATAAACTACTACAAAATATTGACCAACAGAGGGGCATGGAGGACATGGAAAGAGAGCATAGTAGAGAGGATTGATTTAATCATAGTAAAAATATATTCATGTATGATAAAGCATGGTCAAATAATATGTGTACAAATAATATATGCTAAATAAATAAGTGAATGACAGGAATGTATAACAGTTTCTGTTGGGGAGTGGGCACCAGTAGGAAGGGGAATGAAAATGGGGAGGGTGAAGGAGGGTGAATACAGTCAAAGCATTTATTTATATATATGGAAATAGAACAATGAAACCTGTTGAAATTGTGGAGGGATTGGGGAGAAAAGGGAGAGTGGTATTATACACATGGATAAAGAATATTTGGAAGTTAAAATATGTCTAGGGTGTTGGTACTAGCATGGAGGAGCAGATAAATGGAGATGGAAGAGGGAGGGAGGATATACTTTATTTACATTGGTGAAAACTGAACTAGATTGAGACTGGTTTTGAAAGGGAGAATGACAAAGGACATGGAATATGATTAGATTTATTATATGCATAAATGGACATGTTAAAAAAGATACTTTTTATCATAAATGTCATTGTTCTCAGGATAATCTAATTTTAACAAGTTTCTTAAAATACAGGATATTTTTCTTAGTTTCTTACCCCCGTAAAGTCTCCATAAGACTGGGAGAAGTAGAGATGAGCAGCAGGACCACATCTATTGCGAAGTTCTTTTATTTCTTCTTGAGATTCATGTAACATCCCCAGACATTCCATGTTCCTGTCTTGTAACTCATGCAGCTGAAAGAAAGGGGTAGTATAATTTACTAACTCCTCAAAACAACAATGGGGGAAAACACAAAATCCCTTAGGATAAAGGATTTCATGGGGTTAAGTATTATTTTATAAAGAAGGCTGTCTGTATATTATTTCAACAATACAAAAACTATGACAAACTAGGTAAAAAGGGTATATTTATCTTAAGTTGTCAGAATTAAGGGTGTCCTGGCCATATTGAGACAATCAGAACTGTCAATTCAATATTGAATGGTTAGGTTCAATAGAATCATCAAGTTAGTGTTAGCCTAATATTAATCTTTCTTTTAACCATCACTATGACATATGTAAATGACAAGACAAAGGAACGCAATCATCCAAAATAAATAATCCCTTCCCCTCTTGTTTCAGAATCTTTTTTTACAGCTTGATACACAAATCTGATTTTTAAAAAAGCCTATTTTTACAGTGCATTTCAGCTGAAAAAATTTCAAGTGTTATTATTTTAGAATTAGCAAAGCTGTACCAGCACTAGTGGGTCACACCTATAATCCTAGCTATTCAGGAGGCTGAGATCTGAGGATTACAGTTCAGAGCCAGTCTGGGGAGGAAAGTCTGTGACACTCTTATCTCCAATTAACCACCAGAAAACTGGAAATGGAGCTGTGGCTCAAAGTTGTAGAATGCTAGCCTTGAGCAGAAAAGCTGAGGGACAGTGGTCAGCCCCCTGAATACAAGTTCTACAACTGACAAGAAAAAAAAAAGAATTACCAAAGCTGAGATGTTTATTAAAAATGCACATTCTAGGCTATTATCTAGACCAATAAACTATAAACTCAGGATGGTACCTGGGTATCTTCAAATAAAAGTTGGTTTCCCCATTGACTTTTTTGCTTGTTTCTTCTTCAACACACACACACACTTTTTTTTTTGTTTAAACTATTATACACAACTTTTTTGTACAAAATCAGTGCTTCTGTAAATCTAGCGAAATAGATCAGTTCTTTTCTATCACTCCCTACTTTCCAATTCTATTGTAAAAGCAATTATGCATTTCTAAAAAAGGTTGAGATGTTCTAAAAGTATATAGAATATAACAATCATGAATTTTAATCTTTTGTAATTTTCCAGATGAACAAATCCAAAATTCAGATATCCTGGGTCACTAAGACAGTGTGTTAGGATTTTCACATTACTGACAAGCCTCTGGGGAGTCTGATTGAAGATGTAAGAAAGCTTCAGGTAAATCTGACTAACATTTCAGCCTGTCTTTTTTTTTGTTTGTTTGTTTGTTTGTTTTTGCAGACATGGGGCTTGAATTCAGAGGTTGGGCACTGTCTCTAAGTTTCTTTTTGCTCAAGGGTTTACACTCTACCACTTGAGCCACAATGCCACTTCTGGATTTTTCTTTTTATGTGGTATTGAGGAATCCAACTCAGGGCTTCATGGATCAGGCAAGCACTTTACCAGTAAGCCACATTATCAGCCCCTCAGCCTGTCTTTAGACAAGGCAAAAGTGAAGTCTTACATTTGCCTTCAGCTGAAGGATTTTTATCATCTCTGAAAAGTCACAAAAATATTGAAAAGAACATTGGAGTCTTTCCTACAATTTCTAAGTTGTCTAGCTTGCCAAATTGAGTTTTGCTGCCAATGGATCATGAAGTAGGGAAGAAAAAGTAAAACTTAAATGTCTGGTCTGGTGTGTTCTTCATTTAGTCCACAGAGAAGGAACACAAAGAGGCTAATTTCCTGACCTTAACATTTTTCCCCAAGCAGCAGATATCAAAGTCTTAGAACAGTTTTGAGTTTCAATAAGTTAAAAAAGCTGACTGTAACAAACCTGCAAAAAATACATCATTTGGAGGTTTGCTTGGTTAAATTTTATTGTATTTCTTCAGTTTTCTGTTTTTTTTTGTCAGTCACGGGGCCTGAACTCTGGGCCTGGGAGCTGTCCCTGAGCTCTTCAGCTCAAGGTGAGCCTTCTACCACTTGAGCCACAGCGCCACTTCCGGTTTTTTCTGCTTATGTGGTGCAAAGGAATGGAACCCAGTGCCTCATGCATGCAAGACAATTATTCTACCATTGAGTCACCTTCCCAGCCCCTATTTTCTGTTTTGATAATATGTATTTAAATTTTGTTGTGCTTGGTAACAGTAACTGCTATTAAGTTATTAGAGCTTAAAACTTTTCAAGACTTCTAGAGTATCCAGTGTGATTCCGAGGTCTCAGTTCTAGACTACTTCATCCCAAGTGATTCTCACATGCCAAACTGCCACCAAGTTATATCTAATACATAAAGTTTACATAGATACAGAGTATAAGATTTTTCCTGTTCCACCAGACATGTAAAAATACCATTAGAAATTATCTTATTTTAGAAACTGTTGAGCTGTTTATATGCTGTAGTAGTTTACTGACAAAAAGGTCCTAAATCCTAAAGAATCTTATAAATGTCAAGGTTTTTATCAGGAAGACCGTTGTCATAATTAGTTTAGAGACAGGTAAAAAAATTAGAGACTGGTAAAAAAAAGTTTCTGGTAACTCCCCTTTATAATTCTCACTCACAAAGATAAAAAAAAAACAACTCACGCCCACCCCCACCCCGAATTACACAAGATAAAGGGAGATGCCATTACCTCCATTGTCAGCTGTCGCTGGGCATCTTTGGAAGCTTGTAAGTGGAGTCTTAGTTCTTCCTTCTCAATCACATGCTAACAACATATCAAAGGAGACATGTGAGGCCTTCTCATATGTAACACAGCTACCTTCTCTTTTTCGTTTATTTTGTGCTAGTTCTGGGGTTTGAATTCAGGGCCTGGCTGCTGTCTTTGAGCTTTTTTGCTCAAGACTAGCATTTTACCACCTGAACCACAACTCCACTTCTAGCTTTTTCCTGATAAGTTGAATATCAGAATCTCACAGATTTTCCTGCCTGGGCTGACTCTGAACCATGATCTCCAGATCTCAGCCTCTTGAGTAGCTAGGATTATAGGGCCAAGGCACCAGTGCCTTGGTTCCTTCTCCCATGTTAGAGGTTTCTTTCTGGGCACAGCCTAAAGTTCTACAAAAGCAAATCTTCAAGAGCCATAAATGGGCAGAGGAGAAAAACCACAAGACATTCAAAGGAAAATGAGCATGAGTTAATAATCTATACTACAACTTTCTGAGGAAAAGGTAACTCCAGTTAGATAGAGAAATAGTAAGTAGAAGTAGTTATTCATGACTATTAGTGCTTAAAGAAGAATAAAACAGCAAGCATTTAAAAAAGGCAGAGATGTGTTTATTTTGCTCAGAATCTTAGGGCTCAGCAGATGCATGGTACTATGTCAGTGCTTGACAACATTGGCTGAAAGAATGAATAAACATACTTCTTTAAGTTTATGCTGAAGATCTACAATCTGAGACAAGAGTGAGGATATCTCTTCTTGGTATCGAATTAATTCATCACTTTTTCCTGACAATTCTTCAGTCATTTTGGACATCTGAGCATTTGTTTCTCCTTGGAAGAAAAATAAAATTTTAAAGATTAATATACAAGAAAGCATGAATTGGCAAAAAATTGCCTTTATATTAAAGTCTGATTTGTAACAGCACTGGACAATCAATCATTAACAGATTTTTCTGAAAGGTAAGTTTAGAAAATAAAATAAAGGTTTTTCTGAGATACGGAATTGGTAATTGAATGCTGAGATGACTTGTAAAGACAAATATATGCTCCAAGCCTCCTCTTCATGAAAGACAGAAAGGAGAGCTAGGGGAATTACATACCTTTGTGAATGTGAAGTGGTAATTTCATCATGTCTTTCTCTTCAAGAACATAAGTAAAATTCCACTAAGCAAGAAAAATTAACCATAATGAATCTCACAAAGGAACATTTCCAGAATGGAATGGTCTATGACAGCTGAGATGCTTTTGTAAAAGACTTTCAGGAGCACTCAACCAAGCAAGGAAGGTCTGTACAGAAATTGTTACAGCCCAGCATTCCTGCATACATATGAAACAGGACTTCTAAAAAGCCATTGGGTTTTTATTTCATATAACAAATGTGATGTAAGCATAAGCAAAAACCCCACAAACTTTCACTGTTTATGTATACGTTTTTCACTATTATGTATGTTATTTTTCACTGTTATTATGTTTTTTTTTAAATTAAGAGTCTGTTACTAAGGAGGCAGACTTGGAGCTGAACTTTCAGGGGAAGTCACTTCTGTGGTTTTTTTTTTAGTCGGTCATGGGGCTTGAACCCAGGGCCTGGGCACTGTTTCCGAGCTCTTTTGCTCAAGGCAAGTTCTTTATCACTTCGAGCCACAGCACCACTTTTGGATTTTTGAGTTGTTAATTGGAGATAATACTCTCACAGAGACTTTTCTGCCTGGGCTGGCTTTGAACCATGATCCTCAGCTCTCAGCTTCCTGAGTAGTAAGGATCACATGTGTGAGCCACTGGCGCTCAGCACTTCTGATTTTTTTTGTACTTTTTTTTTATTGTAAAAATACTGTACAGAGGGGTTACAGTTACATGAGCAGGTTACAGTTACATGAGCAAGGTAATGAGTACATTTCCTATTGAGCATTGTTTCCTTCTCCTTTGTTTTCCCCACAACATCCCTTCCCTCCTACCTCCACAACTACTCCTTACCCCCACTTCTCTGATTTTTAAAATATGAAAGGTGAGTAATGATGGAGGAAAGGATTCAATTACATTCTTTCTGGTTCTCTAATATTCTATTAATTGAAAGGGTCTTCTATCAAAAGACACACAGCCAAAATGAATTAATCATTTGTTCAACATAAAATGCTGTCTTTTAATAAAGAAATTAAATATCTATGAAAATCTTTTTTACCACGATTTAAAAACATTACCCAAAATATATTCCCCATATATTCCCTATATTCCACACAGTTATCACTGAGTAAAGAGTCACTGAATATTGGATTTTATGTCATCTTTTAGGTCCTGGCTCTACCACTTGCCAGTTTTCTGACTTTGGCAAATCATATTGTCTCTATGATTATATCTTCAGTACTACAGAGAACTTTGCTTCCTTTTCTCTAACACGCTATAGCTTCTTAAAAAACTGTATTTTTATTATTTTTAAATAGTTGCAGAAAGGGGTTACCATACAACTATCATCCCTTTCATTCATTCTCCCCCATGTCTCCCAACCACCCCCTCCCTTCAATTTTCCTAGGATATACACTGAATATTATCAATGCAATCTCCTCTTCTTCCTCTCTATTTGTCTAACCCTTTTCCCTTGATACCCACCCCCTTCAGACTATACCTCTTTTTAGAAATGTAAGTCTTTATTTAATGATGACAACAAGGTAAGGCAAACCTATTTCTTAAAAATACACATAGTATCTTATTTAGGGTTGTAGGCTCAATGTGATATCTAATATTTTCAGTTACTTCTATGGTTTGTGTCTTGAAGGGTCATGTGTTGGCAGCCTGTAACAAGTGGTGGTACTGGGCAGTGGGCCTTTAAGTGGTGAGGCCTAGTGGAAGGTATTTGGGTCATAGGTATTTACCTTAAGAAGGAATTAGTATTATCCTCTCTCAGGGGGTTAGTTTTCTAGAGAGCAGATTATCATAAAGGAAGACCTGAAATGCCCCTTCTATACATGACCAGTTCCCTTTCTCTCTTTGTTATGTTGTGAGTAAACCAGGGAACTCTGACCAACATTCAGATATCAAAAATTAAGAGCCAAATAAACCTCTTTATAAGTTACCTAGCCTTGTGTATTTTATTATAGCAACACAAAACAGATAAAGACAATAATTTAAATTGCTTCTTAATTTAAATTGCTTTTACTGCCATCATTGATCTAATTTCTGAGTTGGAAATATCTCGGCAGAGTTTGTTACTACTTACGTAGTTCTTTAACACAGTCATTGACAAGCTGTTGTTCCTTCTCTTCATAGGTAAAAGTTTCTGTCTTTATATGACAAGCCTTCAAGGAAAAAAAAATGCCAATATGTAACAGTAACTTCTAATAATTACAAAAGGCTTTGCTATTTGAAGATTACAGTTCATTCAAATATAAGAAAACACATAATTTACTAAGCTTTATGTAGGGGAAATGATGTCACCAAGCATCTCCCCTTGTCTCAGGGCTCTGTACATTACTACTCATGCCCCATGTGACTCACAGCTGTCTGATGAATTTCTACCCTTGGCAACAAAGTCACATGCTCAAGTTGGACTTCTTTGGTTTCCTCATTTTTTAAGCTCATAGAAAATTGTATTTTGTCCCTGTATATGGTACTTTAAAAAATATATTTTTATTGTTATTATTAAAGTTTTATACATAAAGGTTACTTTTTCATAAGTCAGGTAATGAGCATATTTCTTTTTGGACAATGTCACTCCTTCCTTTACTTGAAACTTGTTTTTTTTGACCCAGCTCTCTTCACAGTCATTTAATTATTATGTACCTCCACAGATTGATATGCTATACTGGGAATATTGTATTTTATCTGTCCACTTGTTATTAACCACTTCTCAGTGAGCTCTATGTAACAAGGGACAAAAATCTACCTGGACCTAAATCTTACTGCTTGAATATAAAGGAAATGAGAATTAGTCTAATGCACCTTGGATCGAAGAGCCATATTCTCTTCTTCCAGTTCCTTGAGCTTTTCTTGCAGCATGTCCAACTGCAGCAAGCCTTGAGATAGGCTAAAGGACTCATTGAACCGAAGAGGTGTAGAACAGCTGGAATCAGTCTCACTCTCTTCAGATGCAATGGACACAATTCGAAGCAACTCATCTTTCTTGGATAGTTCATGTTGCAGCTGATTAACCTGTAAATAAGAATACTTGATTGAATTATGTTCTTCAGTTGCATTATTTATTTGTAAAATGGCTTCTACTTCGGGGAACAATTGTTTTTCATCATAAAGAAATCACAAAATCAGCTCCTAAATTTAAGGATTAAAAGAGAGTAACAAATTCCAGAAACCTCTTTAGCTACTGTTTAGAACATTAACTCAACAAATAGTTTTTCCTAGAGTAAATCAGGTGAAAGCCAATTTTCATAACTTATAAAATAGAAATATAGGAAGAAAATGTTATCTAATATAATGATACACTCACAAAACCAAAACAAAAGCAAGAATTTTCAAAGTATCAGAATAGATTTCACTTCACTAGCTTGTACTTTATAAATGGCCATGTCTTACTTATAATGCTATTAAGTCTATGAAATAATATTTCTAGGGAATAAATATTTTCAATGTACAGGCCCAAGTGTTAGTATACTGTATTTATAAAGTAAAACCATATTTTTAAAAAATGAGTTCTAGAGAATTCAAAATTTAACTACTCAAGTTGACAATAAAGTAGATCTTACTACAAATATTTGTTGATATGGAATAAACCTATTTCCAAAACTTCTGTTTCTTTTCTGCTTTTTATTTTTGTTTGAGTAAGAATACCTACATCTGGGTAGTTTATTTTTTTTCTTTTAACAAATTTTAAATAAGATTATATACAAAATCTACATGAAGGGGCAAGAATAAACTTAAGACCCTCAACTGGGTACCAAAAGCATCTGAATATAGATGTTAAAGAGTTGACTAAGAATCATGTGAGTGTTCTTCCATACAATAACATCTTATTTCTCTGTTTATCTCAATGCTTGCCAGCAAAGTCAAGAGGTACTTTGTGTTTTAGGGTTACCCAGGAGAAATACATTTCTTCATTGCATCAGACCTAATTATTTCAGGTTTTAAGTAACAATCAAAATTACCTGATCAAAGGCTTGTCCCAGTTGCTCCTCCAGGGCTTCATTCTGTTCAGATAAGACATGATTCCGCTTTAAGAGAGCTTGTCCAATTCGAGCGGCTAACTCCAAATCACGATCCCTCTGTTAAAATAGCACATACACTTTTTCTTGAAATATAAACATAGATGTGGTTTAGAAATTCTGCCAAACTCAAAAGTAATCTCTTGTAAAGCAACAAGGTTCATTTTAATGCCCATATACCACAAATGAACACAAGACTGGGCACTCATGTAGTGTTTAATACTGGTCAAATAGACAGTTGTAGTTACAAATGCAAGGCGTCATCTCTTTTCTTGATAGGAAGTATGATTTTATTGGTAATTTTAGTCATTAGTCCCTAACACTCATTAACTTTGTGGAAGAAGGAGGAAGAGGAAGATGAAAAAGAAGGGAAGAGGAAAAGGAAGAAGAGATACTTGGTGAATACAACAGTGTATTAAGCATGATAATGACACAGAATTAGAACCAGAAATGTACATTACCTATGTATGTAACCCCCGTTCATCACCTTTACAATATATATATATAGAGAGAGAGAGAGAGAAAGAGAGAGAGAGAGAGAGAGAGATAGATATAAGAAAAGGATGTTGAAAATAATTCCATTATGACAAAGATTACATGCATTCACTGCCAGTGGTTTATAGGAAAGCAGAGCCAAGAGGCCTACTGATAACTGTAAGAATGATGACTGATATTGATAACTATAAAAATTATGAGTCTTCTGGACAACAGTTGTAAGAATAATGTTCTGAAATAAAATAAGATATAAAAGATTAGAAATTTTGAAGCTATAGGGTTTTGCCTTGAATATAGAGAAAGGAGGCTAAGGCTGGTGATGATGCAGGGAGGCCTTACAAGAACAGGCTTCTCTTCAGAGGCAGTCTTTCTGAGTTGGTGTGACATTTAGTAAGGGCACAGAAATCCCACTGGTGGGAGTAAGGATTTTATTTGTAGGATGGACAGCTGTTAATGTACATGTAACTTCCTTCTATATGACTATGAGCTCTGTTTACATTAATCGTGATCAGAGTGAAATTAAAATTCTATTTCTTTCATAGGACATGAAAATGATAATTATCTACTTATTTCAAGACCATTTATCTCATTTTAAATAGAAGCTGGCAGCAATGTGGAAATCATTCTTGGAAGCTAGAAGGAGAGAACTATATATCAAAGAGAAAGTCTTCCTCAAGATCAAATGAAACTGAAGTGCAAAAGAGAACACTATTGATTGCCAACTGGAAGGGATATACTATGTGTATTATACATGGTATGGAAAAAGTTACCTCTTTAGTAGCCTAACAGCAAGAAAGGATATATTCCAAACTGATATGTTGATTTGGAGGTGCTTTCTGAATGAGCAACTCTGTTCCAGCATGAATAACAGCAAGAATAATTTTATGACAATTTTGTTTTCACAAGGAGGCCAGCTAATACTGTATCAATCAATCTACCAATTAATTAATCAGTCTTTTACAACTCAGGAATGTCATCTGGTATCCAGCTGTTTCAGCTGGATACACACAGCACAGATATCAATTTTCATCTGATATGTGAACTGGGTAGACTCCAAATGATCAACTTTTAGCTTTTTATACCAAATTAAAAATATATTCCTACCTCTGCGAGGAGATGAGTAACCATGTCGATGTCATTGTACGTTTTAGTCATCTGCTCCACCCTGTCTGTGCCTAAAACTAAGGTAGATAAAAATCAATGATTTAAAATCTTTAGGAATAATAGAAGAACATCCATGAGAATCAAAAGATAACAAACAACAAAACATTCAGGCTGGGAGGATACATATGAAAATGTTTGTTAGTAGTGGTTACCTCTGAGTAAGGGACTATGTTAATGTACTATTTTCTGTTTCCTCCTCTAATTTTCTATGAATAACAAATGTTATTATAATCTGAATAAAATAGAAACTCTTGTTAATTAGTTTCATAAGGCAAAGATGAATTTTAAAATGCAAATATTTCATATGACAAAGTTAGTGCAACCATAATTCTCAAAATCTCACCTTTTAGAGAAAGTAGCCTATAGATTACAGAGCCCCAAAGACTGGGCCACTTTAGTCATTCACCATGGAGACAGGGAAATTATAGTTTCCTCTGTATAGCCTAATTACTTTCCTCAACCCAATACTGTAATGATAAAGGAATGATTCTCGAGATGATCCAAAAAGTACTCAGAGCAAAGCCCTTAAAGTTAGACCTTAAAATTGAATGCTTCAAAACCATATACTGAGATAGGCAAGTAGACTATCTTTAGTTTAAAAACCCATGTTCCTTTCAATTTTCAATTGCTAATGTAAAAATATGTTAAATGATACAGAACTGAGCAATGCTTCTTATTTTCTGACATAAACTTCCTTAACTCTTAGAAAATATTACATATCAGCTTGGGTGTGGTGGCACACACTTGTAATCCCAGCACTTTGAAGGCTGAGGCAGGAAGATTTCAAGTTTGAAGCTAGCCTGTGTGTGTATGTGTGTATTAAAATACATAAATTGTTCTCTTTAAGTTATATTTTATCTCTGAATACTTTGTATCAAATACTTCAATCTCAGATTATTACCAGGATGGGAAATATTAGTTACTCTATTTTTAGTAATATTTTGTTATTTATATGATAGTGCTCCACAGTTCTTTCATAGTCCCTTGACCAGAAGTGCTGAAGTTCATAAGGAATTCTAATTTGTTGAGAGGTGAAGATGGCAGAATTATGGTTCAGAGTTAATGAAAAAACAAAGAAGGGAGTAAGACTAAAAATACATGCTACGTGCCTGTAATTCTAGGGGATGCAGAAGTAGGAGGATTGCAATCTGAGACTGGAAGGGGTAAAAATGAGACTGTATCCTGAAAAATGAACTAAAGTAAAAGGGATGAAGTCACAGTTAAAGTGGTAGAGTACCTGCATAGCATGTTTGAAGCCTTGAGTTCGTATCTTAGTACTACCAAAAAAAGCATTATCTTTTATGCCTATCCAAACTTCCCATAACAAAATCCAAAACAACAACCACAGAAATAAAATGAAACCCAAGCATGACTTAGCTCTTGGTGCTATAATATGGAGAACATTTCTTCAACATAACTGCCTTCAAAAGAACTTAGCAAAGGAAGACTGATGACCCACCATTTAGAGCAGCCTCTCGCTATGTAGCTCAGGGGAGAAATAAGTCCTATGGACTATCATGAGAGGGATAGATTCCTCTATTATCCCAAGGACAGTATAAACTTAGTGTATAGTGTGCAGGAGATTTGGCAATGTGCTAGACATTCAGTGCAGTGATTGAGAGTTCTGACCAAGGAGGTTATAAATCTGCTAACCTTTCGGATGTGGCTTTTGATTAAATGTTTTCTGAACATTATTAGTCATTTCTTTTCCTGCCATTACAAGTTTTTGAGGGCAGTGTGCTGGAAAGTCTATCTATGAATGAGAAGAAATAATTTCTACAAGTGTGTATCTCTGCAAAATTGTATATACTTCCTAATTTCTTAATTCTCCAAATTAATGTCATTGAGAAATGGTGCTTAGTTTTGGTTGACAACAACATTGTCTGCCTGTGGTTCTCACACTTGGATGTGTATAGCAGCATTAGCGCATGTCGAAACAGAGTGCTAGTCCCACCGTTGGCCCAAGAACGTGTACTTCAAACAAGCTCCCAAGTGATACTGACGGTGGGGATCCACATTTTGAGAAAGATCACATTAAATAGAACATACAAAATCCCCAGGTGTGGTGGAGCCTGAAATCCCAGTGCTTAGAAAAAGGAGGCAGGAGGATGGCTAAGTTTGATGCCAGCCTGGAATATAAGGTGAGTTCCAAGCCAGTCTGGGAGAGAAACCAAACCAAACCAAAAGGCAAGTGTGCACTTGCCCCCTCCCCAACCCCAACTTTATGCCTTACAGAGTAATATAGGTAGTCTTTCATTCCAAAATAAAGTTTTCAAAAAGGCAGATCCAGGTTTCTATTTCTAGCAGTGACAATAATGAACAAAAGGCATTCTATCCTGTGTGTCCTGATTACATGGCTCACACAATAGCTCATTGTGAGGTTTACTTTTAACAAAAATTAGGAAAACTTTGAGTCACCTGTTGTGCATGTAAGGCATTCGTTGAGCATCTTGAGACGTGAGTGTGTGCAGCAAGGACTGAGATAGAATTGTTTTTGGACCCACTTACTTAATAAAATATTAGACCTATAATATTTTAAAGCAAATAATCTCTTTCTGGCTTGGGTGACTTCAAAGAACTATGGCGTCCTCCATTCATTCATGTGAAACGGTTCCAACCCAAGTACTGCCCACAATCACATTTTCTTTTCACAGTTCTTTAAATTTCTTCATGTTACACAAGGGAGATGAATTTCTGCATGTGCCACCATCTTTTTATTAAGTGTTAAAATTCACTTTAGTGAGAACAAATATCCACTGGTCTGTGAGTAAGGATCATGGAATGGCCAGTCCAGGTGTGAAATGATTATTCAAAATCACACATCATGAAATCTTAGAGAGCTGTGGAGCAAGGGTAAAAAAATACCTGGAATCTTATTTTTTAAACTTGTTTTTTGCTCAGTTTGTTAAAGGATAAAGTAAATCACATATCTTTTTCATTCATAAGTTGAAAATTTACAATAAGATTTACTTATATTTAATCGAACTATTAACCCAAAGAATTGTTACCTTTAAAATAACAGTGAAGTTACAGTGCAGAGATAAAATATTAATACATCAATTGTAATCCTAGCTTACTTGCTTCATTATCTTAGGTATATACTGTATAGTTCATTTTTCAAATTGTTTAAGTGAAATCAGTGCCATTAGAGTAAAAGGATAGAATACTTGAAGTTTGGGCTTGTATCATTCTACTAATACTGTGTGTGTGTGTGTGTGTGTGTGTGTGTGTGTGTGTGTGTGTGTGTGTGTGTGTGTGTGTATGTGTGTGTGTGTGTGTGCGCGTGCGTGCACGAGCGCATGTGTGCACTCATGTGATGTACGTGTGTGTGCTTTGTCTTTTTTTCCCCTCCAGTTTGAATTTAGAGCCTCAGGCTTGTTTGGTTGGCATTCTATCACTGGATTCAATCTTCCAGCCCTGCTTTTGGCTGGCTAAGAGATGGAGTCTCAGACTTCTCTTTGGCTGGCTTCAAATTTCCAACCTCCAGATCTCAGCCTCCTGAGTAGTTAAGATTACAGTCATGAGCTACCAGCATCTGGCCTGTAGCTAGCTAGCTTGCTTGTTTGCTTGCTTGCTTGCTTGCTTCCTTCCTCCCTCCTTCCCTCCCTCCATCTCCCCTCCCTCCCTCCCTCCTTCCTTCCTTCCTTCTTTCCTTCCTCCTTCCTTCCCTCCCTCCTTCCTCCCTCCCTCCTCCCTCCCTCCTTCCTTTTTCATCTTTGTCTTTCATCTTTTTTCTTTTTTGAAAGAAGTTTTAGAGGTTATTTTACAATTTCATATCTTTATCTATAGTCTAGTTAAAATCCATCCTAAGAATGACCTCATTTTAATCATGATGCTAAGGTAAGCTTTTACCACCACCTCAGGAGGCTACAGGACAGGATTATGCTTTTTACCTTATTAAAATAATAAGAAATTGAATTTAACTTGATAAAATTTTAGTTTGAAAGTTCTCACAAACTTGAAAACTCAGGGGGAAAAAAAGGAACGGTAACAAAAAGAAGTATTCCTTCCATTTCCAACCAACCAAATCCCAATCAACCAATCTTCTCAAACTAAAAACTTAAAATTTTGATTGTCTTAATTTAACTTAATTGAGCTACTTTTAAAAAGTAGCTTTAAAAATGTGGGGAAGGAAAGGAAAAACTGGGAAAGCACAAGGGAAGGGGTGACACTGTTTAAAAACAAATATACTCTCTATCTGCCTTATGAACTGTCACTCTTGTGTACCTCACCTTTACAATAACAATAAATTTTAAAAATATTAAGAACAGAAATGCAATTTTATTTTGGCTCCTTTATATTCCAATTTAAGTTTAAACAATGTTTACTCTTTTCTAGGTAAAAAGTGCTAGGAAACTGCCAGAAGAAAATAAGTTCTAAAAACCCTCCAAAACTGTGTAGTTCTAGGAACTACTACTAAAAGTAAGTTAATGATTACTATGAAAATGGGTATTTCCTAATTATTCTTTACCAATAATCTGCCCTTAGAAATACTACTGAAGCACTCACTGTGGAAATGCTTATGACTTGATACAAAGTCATGTTTAACTCAAGAGAATTTTACAAACACTATCAATGTTGAACTTACAGATTTGTATAATACATTATATCAGCTACTATGCACACAACCTTTTTATACTATATTGATAAATGAGAATTTAAGAAAAAGACTAGATAACAAAAATAAAGTAAGTTCAGCCTAATGGAGATTTTTGAAATGAGATCAAATGGAAATAAGTCTCCATATTTCAAAGTTCAAAAAAATCCTCTATTTTCATTTCTGACAGCTTGGTGAAAAATGATAATTTTTCAGGACAAATCTGGCTCAACCACTCATTAAAATATTCTTGGTAAATCTTTAATAATGAAGAATACTATATAATGTACATGCATTTCTCCCTGATATGATGGAAACTAGTATGTAAGAACTATGATCCTAAATAATGTGTGTAACTTCTGCAAGTATGTTTAATAAGGGAAGAGGTAAAAAAGCTGACAACTGTAATAAAAAATGTTAACACTTTCATATACAGTAAAAATTTGATGGGCTGGGAAGGTGGCTCAGTGGTAGAGCGCTTGCCTTGCATGCATGAGGCCCTGGGTTTGATTCCCCAGCACCACATAAGCAAAAAGAAAAAAGCCAGAAGTGGCGCTGTAGCTCAAGTGGTAGAGTGCTAGCCTTGAGCTGAAGAGCTGAGGGACAGCGCCCAGGCCCAGAGATAAGGCCCCACGACCTGACTCCCCCAAAAAATAAATAAAAAAAATTAAATTAAAAAAAATTGAATTATTTTGCTACATTTATAAAGTTCTCTTCTTTTTACAAAGACTGAGGAAAATCTGGAGTAAAAAAGTAAGTAAAAAGAAAAGCAAAGAAAGCAAAAGGAAGCTTTAAGTATGCAGGCAACACTTGCCACTCAGAGTCATAAGGATGGCCACTTTCCTATATTCAGATATCTCTTGTTAATCATTTCCAGTTAAAGTATATAAAACCTGAATAATGGCTACTAAACATGAAGTGTGGGCTGCGAATGTGGCTTAGTGGTAGAGTGCTTGCCTAGTATGCATGAAGCCCTGAGTTCGATTCCACAGTACCACATAATCAGAAAAAGCCAAAAGTGGTGCTGCATCTCAAGTGATAGAGTGCTGCTAGCCTTGAGCTCGGGGACAGCACCCATGCCCTGAGTTCAAGCCCCAGGACTGGCCAAAAAAAATCAAGTGTCTTAAAAGGCAGTACCATGATACTCATACTCTTTATTTTTGTAGAAAAACTCTAAAAAGGTTAAAAAAGTACTCACTCATGTAACGGAAAGTCTCTTCTGCAAGGACTGGAGAGAGGGCATCAGATGCATGCTGCTGTTGGAGTGATGACTGTGCCCAGTCTTGATTTTCATATAGAAAGAGAGAGTCTACTCTTAGCTTATACTGGGGCAACTGTTCTTCCAGCAGATTCACCAGCTCAACTTCAGGGAGATCTTCATTGGAGCAGACATCTAGAAAGGAGAGAGCCCATGTAAATGAACATGGTATAGTTCAGTTTACTGGCCTACAGAGGAATTCAGAGAAATTAAGTTTTTCAGACAAGGGAACATAATTATTAAAAATCTAGTACTCTAATAATATAGTTGGTCTTTCATTAAATAATTAAAAAATAATAAAAATTGAGTACTCTAGTTGGTCTTTCTCTAGATTTCTTAAAAAAAGAACTTTTGAAGTAATAATGATACCTCAAATTATATTATCTAAAAGTACATTCTTTAGTGAGTATAATTGTTTTCAAAGTGTAAAGTGAACTGGAATTGATTTCTTATTTCCTTCTTACAAATCTATATTTTAGTATTTATTTAGTATAGTGTTGGGGGAAGGAGGAAGAAGCAATTCAAAACAATTAGCAGAAAACAATAAATTCATGAGACAATGTGTATTTTCCTTAAAAATATTATTTATAATATTTTTAAGGGGGGTTTCTTCAACAATCCAGAAAAAAATTTAGTATATTTAAATGGCATTAATGTTTATTAAGCACTGGCAATGGAAAAATACCGTTCTTATTTTAAAGATGTGGTATACTAGCTGGGTGCTGTTGGCTCATGCCTGTAATCCTAGCTACTCAGGAAGCTGAGATCTGAGGACTGTGGTTCAAAATAAGCCCAGGCAGGAAAGCCTATGAGACTCTTATCTCCAACTAACCACCAGAAAACTGGAGATGTGGCTCAAAGTGGGAGAGCACGAGCCTTGAGCAAACAGAGCTCAGAGACAGTGCCCAGGCCGTTTCAAGTCTCATGACTGACAAAAAAAAAAAGATGTGGAATCTTTAAAGACCTACAAGACAATCTGAAAGAGGGAGACAGAAACTGGTTCCCCCTAAAAAAATCTCCTTAGCTCTCATATAATATAAATCTAGTATGAGATCGAGACAAAGAGTATCAATTTGTAAGTCAAATAGACCTAGGGTTGAGTTGTGGCCCAGCAATGTATCCAAGCCTCAGTTTCTTCATCTGTAAAATGGAGAAGGTAACAATATCTACTATTTAACTTATATGGCTATGCAAACTGAATTTCGAACATAATTGTATGAAAACTACTTCTTCTTAGGCATAATACCTAGCATTTTGTGGAGGCACATTCTAAATATAACTATTTTTTATTATTGTTGTATTATTGAGTTTTTAAACTTAGAAAATAAAACATGTCTAAAGTTGCTATAGCTGTAGATAATTACAGAATATCAATGGTGGACTTGTAAAACCATCTAATCCTGCCTTGGAGAAAAAGGAATTAAACTTAAAGGTGAATGACTTACCAAGGATCACTGGGCTGTATCTCACTTTCCTATCCAGCATTGTGGCTTCTCAATGACAAGGCCACCTCTTGTTATTGTCTCCCTTTTACTTACCAGCAAGGGCTGACCACATGCCCTAGGTGGTAAATTCCCACTATCATGTCTCTAATATACCATATTAATTTTGTACATGACTTAAGTCTTCTAAGTATTTAGTCTTTAAGTATTGTCCTTTATTTTTTCATTCTTAAAATTAGAAAGAATATGGGCTTTGGCATCACATATAGCTCCTAAATATGACTCATGTACACATTAGCTATGTGATACTAGACACAAAACATTCTTATCGGAACCTTAATTCCCACAATCTATAAAATAAAAAGAATCATCTACCACAGTAAATAAGGAACAAGGTACCTAGGAGGCACTCCCTGAGTATTTCACATCATTACTTTCACTTGCACAATATTTCTGACCATAGCTGGAGCTTTTTTTTTTTTTTAATGCAGTTCCTGGCTTCCTGTTCCCAACAGTGGCCAACATTTAACGCCTCCCAAACACCAGCAGTTTAAAAAAACAAAAGGAGACATCTCTTTTTATCATGGTTTAAATACTAGGGCTTAAAATAGAGAAAATACAGGATGTCATATCTATCCTCTTACTTTCAAGAGATCTGGCATTTCCTTTGTGAGCAGAATAAAGAAACATATTCTAACTCTGGCAGAGCAACAAAGCACAGTAGAAGAAAACAAACTGCAAAAGGGCAAATTTCTATTACTTGACCTGAACTCACAATTATGATTTAGTTAAGTCTAGTAAAAAAATGGCAATATCATAGCCACAAAGAGGAGATGAAGTACATTTAAACTCTAATCAGGGATAGACAGAGGAGAATGATGGAAAGGGTGACATTGATAAAGATGAATTGTACTCATACTTTGGCATGTAGAAATGAAACCCCTGTGCACAACTACTTAAAATAAATATTTTTAAAAGATGCAATGTACTCACAAACTAACAAGTTAAACTGAAACCCCTTTGGACAACAATTAAAGATAACTAAAAAAATTCTTAAACCTTGAGAGATCTCTTAAAAGTCGTGAAAAATATATTCAAATTTTATTAGTACAAATTCCATTTAATTATTTAATTTTTTCCTGTCACACATCTATTACATACAGATTGTCATTTTAATACTTCCATGTCATTTGGATTTATTTATTCATTTAATTTTTGGGGCACAGGGGACTGAATTGGAGGCATCATGCTTGCATGGCAGGCACTCTATCACTTGAGCCACATCTCTAGCCTTCTAGAAAAGATGACTACAAATACAAGTGGAGCTAAAACAGACTACTAGGTATTCAAGACTATAATAAAGAACTAAAATCATATTCATTAAGAATTACTATTCCATTACATGTTTTTCTTTTTAAAAATATTACTGAAATCCAATTAAAATTCAAAGTCACCAAAAAGTGATTTAAACATAAGTGTACAATTCAGATTTAGTAAATTGAGATGAGCTCCTTTTACTTACTTCCTTATTTCTGATAAGGCACAATGCACAAGGGCTTATTATCTAATTCTCCAATATCTCTTCCATATATCTATTTCTTTCCAGTCCAAATTGCCTCTAATTGGCTCAAGGCTTCCTTTTGTTTTTCTTGAATATGACATTAGAACTGGTCTGCCCATTGTCAGGTGCCAGTGGCTCCTAACTACTCAGGAGGTTGAGCTCTGAAGATTTTGATTGAAAGCCAGCTCAGGAAGCAAAGTCCTTAAACACTCTTATCTCCAAATAACTAGCAAAAAAAGCTAAAACTAGAGCTGCAGCTCAAGTGGTAAAGCACCAGTGCTTTCAGTGAGCTCTAGCCTTGAGCAAAAAAAGTTAATGGATAAGGCACAAGCCTTGAGTTAAAGCAAGCTAGCAAACAAACAAGCAAACACCTGATCTTCTTTCACTGCATTTAAATCATTTTCACATGATCCTATCACTTGCCTACATAATTTCATCTCTAGCCAGAACAGAAAAACATTATTGAATACTTAAGACAATCAGTAGAAATTCCAGAAGAGTCATGCCACTGATGAGAAGATTAAATTAATGCTAGAATAAAAAAATACTATGGTGCAGACCCACATAACAAAAACACAAGTCTCAAAAAGATAACTATATGAGTAAATAATCTGTCGAAGGAAAACTTAATACTCTTCCAAGAAAGACAACTCAACACATACAAGTAAAAGTGTAGCATTCATAATAATCTCCCATTAAAATTATTAGCTACACAAAAAATAAGCAAATTAAAGTCCATAATCGGAGATAATAGAATTATAGATAATAGAATTGATAAACAATTTTAAGACAGCTAGCAAGCTAGGCAGTAGTAGCTCACACTGGTAATCCTATCTACTCTGGAGGCTGAGATCAGAGGTTCCAAGCCAGCCTGGGCAGATAAGTCTGTGAGACTCTTTCCTGAAATTAACTACCAAAAAGCTGGAAGTGCAAGTGTGGCTCACGTGGACAATACCTAAGTCCTAAGTTTAAGCTGTAGTATAGGCACAAGAAAAAAAAGGAGAGAAAAATAAAACAAAAACCCAGCTAGAAATATGCAATATACTCAAAGAATCAAAAGGAAATGTAGATTTAATAAAAAAGAAACAGAAGACATCTAAATTTATAATAGAACTGGAGTATAATTTCAAAAACAAAATATTCAATGAATAAGATGAAAAAATTAGACATTCTCCAGAAAAGCACAGCAAGCTTGAATGTACAGCAATGGAAAGCATCTGAAATGAGGTATGGAAGATGTGTGAAGGGGAGCAAGGCAGAATGAGAAGAGCATCAACAACTGTGCCAGGCAATTTACGCATAAGAAAAACAATGGCTATTGTGATCTCTGATTGCTTTTCTGCTAAAGCAGTAGAGATGAGTAGGTATAACAAAGCAGCAAAAATAAATGTACTAGTAATATTTAATCCCAAGAGGATAAATCTCAAAAACATTTTATTATATGAAAAAGACAGAGGAGGGAGTAACAATGCTCAGTAGGAAATGAACTCAAGAGCTTACTCATGTAACTAACCCCTCTGTACAGTATCTTTACAATAAAGATATTTTTAAAAAAGACAGATTCAATGAACCTGAAATTCTAGATCACACAAATTTATTCTAGAGTAGCAAAAGCAGTCTGATGGATGTCCAGAGGTAGAGGTGCTAAGTGAAGTGACTTAGGTGCATGAGAACTTTCGTGGGGTGATCTTTTGTGGGAATTCTATAATTTAGTTGAATTAGTTATATGTTAAAATTCAAACTGTATGCTTAAAATTGCATTCCACTGTATCTTCATAAAGATAGGCTAATAAAGCTGGCTTGAATGGGTTTCAGATTTCAGAAGTTTTTGGATTTTTAGGGAGTGATACTGTGCATTAACTATATGTTTTATGACAGCCCAGACTAGTTTTGTAGCAGCATTCCATATTTCATATCACTGTGTCGTCAGCAAACATGAAAATGCTGGGTAAACAGGTTAAGTCTATGGAAAAAAAACACAAGTCAGGTTTTGTGGGCTGATGGAAAAAAGTTTGAGTATTATGAATGTGTTTGATTTGCCTTTGTAAATAAAGCACAAGGGTTGTACCAACAACCTGTTAACTCCCAAGAGCTTCTTAGATGCCAGGCATTGTTGTCTGGTACTTACAGGGAATGCAAACACAGGTAACTCCACCCTTGGCCTGTGAAGCTATAAGGCAATGATGCAGTTACAAAGTCCAATGTAGTTCTGTCTCAGCAGAGACTTGAGGGTGCAGGGGAGTGAGATATAGAAAACAGCGTACAAGGAAGATTTTTTTTTTTTTTTTTTTGTCGGTCGTGGGGCTTGAACTCTGGGTTTGGGCGTTGTCCCTCAGCTCTTCAGCTCAAGGCGAGAGCTCTACCACTTGAGCTACAGCGCCACTTCTGGTTTTCTGGTGGTTTATTGGAGATAGGAGTCTCACGGTCTCTCCTGCCCGGGCTGGCTTTGAACCGAGATCCTCAGATCTCAGCCTCCTGAGTAGCTAGGATTACAGGCGTGAGCCACCAGTGCCCGGCACAAGGAAGATTTTGGTAATACAAAGAAGAATAAAGAGTGGAGAGATTCATTCAACATGTCTGTGAGGAGACCAGGCTGGAAAGGGAGAGTGGAGTTTTATACAGAAAGTTACAAAGGCCAGATTAAGGGATCTACATTTTGTCTTAATTTCAAAAGTATCCAATCAGACTCACCAGTGATGCTCTCCGAGTCTCTGTGATTGCTGTTCATGAGGTTTTCTTCACCTGTTGGTGATGTAAAAATGGCATTCTGGGATTGACTCATGCAGGATCCTTTCTTGCTTTGGTTGAGAGGGGCAACTTTGGTATAAATCAGAGCAAAGGAAATCCATCAAGCCATTTATTAATGAAATGGATGCAGTCATAAGGGTATTTTCTTTAAAACAGACTTTCTCCGATGAGTCAAATGACATCTGCAGCAATAGTGGACTCATGAGATTATCATTCCATGACAGTAGTCATGACCTAAAACAAAATGCAGATCAAGTGATTAGAATTCAGCAAGCTCTTTAATAATAATCTAATTACCTGGCATGTGTCATTACAAATGTTTTGCTAAGAATATATATGTCATAGACAAATCACAAAATAATTAGGCTAGAAGAAATAAAGAAGGCAAAACCTCCCAAAGTTCATGGTTTATGATTACATTTTTGTAAAACTTCTAGAAAAAAATAAAGTGGGGAAGGAATTACTAAGAAGCAGGAGAAAAGGGAATGGTGAGTGTGGTCATATTTTTCATGGTAGTGATGGCTTCAAAAGCATGTGATGAATAGATATATATGTCAAATGTGATCGAATTATGTACTTGAAAAGTGTAATTAGATGCATATTAATTTATATTTCAATGCAGCTATTTATACTTTGTGTGTGTATGTGTGTGCATGCACGCGCTAGTACTAGGGTTTGAACTCAGGTCCCCTTGCTCTTGTAGCTTTCTCATTCAAAATTGATGCTCTAACACTTGAGCCCGTTTTACTTGCAGCTTTCTGTTGGTTAATTATAGAATCTCAGGGAGTTTCTTGCCTGGACTGGCTTTGAATCAAATCATGATCCTCAGGTCTTAGCCTCCTGGGGAGTTCGGAGCCTTCTGAATAACTAGGATTACAGGAATAAGCCATCAATGCCTGGCTTTAACTTATTTGAAGAAAATCAGGCCGGGTGTGGGTGGCTCACACCTGTAATCCTAGCTACTCAGGAGGCTGAGATCTGAGATCATGATTCAAAGCCAAGCAGGGCAGGAAAGTCTTATCTTCAATAAGCCACTCAGAAAACTGGAAGTGGCACTGTGGCTCAAGAGCTGGAGAGCTGAGGGACAGCGCCCAGGCCCAGAGTTCAAACCCCACAACCAATAAAAAAGAAAAAAAAGAAAACCAATCATTTGGAGTAATATAATAATAATGTATTGTTTGATCTATGCATATGTAGAAGTGAAATGAATTAAATTAGCACAAAAGTTGAGAGGAAAAATAGAAGCATATTGTTATAAAGCTTTTATACTATATATAAAAGTCAAATACCCTAACTGAAGGTAGATTGTGTTAAGTTAAACAGGTATACTATAAACCCCAAAACAAACAATAAAATAACTCAAGAATTTTTGATAATAAGCCAACATAATAGAATGGATTAATACTAAAATCAAGGTTTTTCAGCTCTGGCCACTATTAACAGTTTGGGTCAAACGTGGGGTGCAATGTATGATACTGGCAACCTCTCTGTCCTATACTGACTGGGTGCTTTATTGAATCCCAGTCCCAGAACCAACCTCAGGTACAAATCCTAAATGTTTCCAGCCAGGTACTGTGGCTTATGTTTTTAATCCTAGCTACTCAGGAGGCTGAGATCTGAGGCTCTACTTTATGAGGCTATGATGAAGACTAAATGAGTAATTATATGTATTAATAACATTAGCTCCTTTCTCAAAGGGTCACGGGGGAATGACATAAGTTAACATTTGTAAACATATTAGAATAACGCCTAAGGATATAGTAAATGCCATATGAGTATTAGTTGTATATACTGTTAGTATATTTTACAACGAAAGGCCTATTAACCATGCTAGCTGGCCTCTTCTCTCAATATAAGAAGTCACATTTATTTTCTGCCCTTTGAGAAGGTATGTTTGTTCAGAGGCATTAGTCATCATTTTCTTTCTCTCTTTGATGTATGAATAAACAGAAAACAGTCAAGAGTCTTAAAGGGTTTATTAGAAACTAAACTTTGGCAAGCACAACCACATGTTTCTGGCACCTTCCCTAGTTGGTACACATGTAATTTTAGTACTTCTTTCAGTGCCACATACTTTCTTGGTTATATCATTAGTTAATCTATTTAGGAACAATTGCTTTTCTTTAAAAAAACAACCAAACATGTATTATTTAACAAGAAGAACATTTAGGAGAGAATAAAATATACTGCCAGCAGAAAACAACAGAAATAATGACTTAGTTTAGTTCAGTCATGGAAGTAAAAGATCAACAATGAGTGCCTAAATATAGACCCTGTGCCAAAAAGAATTCTTGCTATTTCCTTAGAACAGGACACTATGGCCAAAATAGCCTCACCACAAAGGCTACAACAACTCAAAAGAAACTTCATCTTGCAGAAATGCAGAGCCTAGGATTACAGTAAATGCATTACAGTAAATGATTCAATGAAACACATTACTAATACATTTTGAAATTTCATCTTACAAACAATAAATTGGGAATAAATTAAAAACACACATTGGCTGCTGCACAGCGTGCAAGAGCAGGCACAGTGTCAATCTCCAAGTGCAGCAGATCCCCAGGCAGTGTGCCTTAACCCAGACCACAGATATGTGTACCCCCCTTACCACGTTCCTACATTAAGTAACAGATTTTTTTTTGACAAAAGCCTACAAATTGTAATGTATCTGGCTATCCTACAGACTTCATTTACCAAAAAAAAAAAAAAAACCTCAAAACCCTCATAGTAATTAAAAAATCAGATAATGAACCATACAAAGATATGATCATGGCTTTTGTGTTAAGAGTGGAAAACAAAGGGGTGGGGGCAGTGTCACCCTGCTCAATTCAACCTGACTAGGAGACTCCCTAAAGGTGGAGACCAATACCAAGTCCAGCTGTACAAAAGTCCAAGAGAACAATACTGGCTACACTCCCGTACAGTCATTCTACCAGCAACTGCACAGAATGGCACAGCTATTCTAACAGCAATTTACTCATCTTTTTATTTTCTTTGTTGCCACTCAATTTAATGATCAGTAGGCTTCCCAGAACATAAAATATATGGAAGCAGTTCTACTTACAAACAGACTGGATTCCAAAAGGTTTTAAAATCCACCAGTTTAAACATCCAAAGCCATGAGTGAGCTTAGGGGTTAGTGAGCTATGGGGTTAGCATTTCCTACTATGTGATATATTGGGCATTTTTTATGATGAACTTTTCTGAGGCAGGCAACTCCTCCCTGCTACAATCTTCACCAACAGAAGGGAGGTAACTTCTGGCAGCTAAGGAATCCTCATCAGAGCTACATCTGAAGATAAGAAAAGGCCATGAACTCTGGCTGCCTTCTGTGGTTTTAGATAAGTTTCTGCAGAACTACTATCACTATATTTAGCCTTTAAGTTGGTAGAACTTCAAACTACCTGCTGCAAAGCAGGCACCCTAGTTTTACAATGATCTGCCAAAACCATTTCAGATGGCACATGTCCTGTATTCCTTCAGCTCATGCCTGTCAACTGCTCAGGTTCACATGATGGGACGATCCTTCACAATCATCTTTAATATGTACGTGTGGTTTACTGTTTCTACTTTTGTTTCTAGCACTGCTTTCAAGGACAAGATGAGATTTATAATATTAATAAAATACTTTAAAACTACACATGGATGAAACAAACACCATAAATAACATAATGGCTGCATTGAAAATGGCATCTGTTGGTAATCAGTAGAGCTAAATCCCTAGGCACACTTTATCACTAGCCATAAAGTTTGTAAGTTAAGAGGTTTTAAAAAGAAGAGTTTGTGTTTTGAAATATGATGAACAGCAAATTATTCTTTGACATTCAAAAGTAATTTAGTAATGGTCATATGGTAGTTTACTGAGAGGAAATAAAATAGAAAACTGCTCAATTCTAAACAGACACTTCAGAAGACAGACTTGGCTCTCACATTCTATGAGACAGTCCTGATTTATTTTTCAAAGAGAAGGCATCAGACACTTAAGCTTGATTTGAAATTCTGTATCCTCTTAAGTGGGCAATATCTTCCCTGTACCATTTGTACAAGAGCTACAATGTGCTATGTAGTAAACAATAACATGCCTCACTTTTCAAGTTAGGTTTCTTACAGTTTCTAAAGAATGGATTGAGTTTAGTATACATTATTTAAATATCTGAAAGTTTGAGAAATGGAGAAGCTGTCACTAGAAAGGTTATTACTGAGTTATACTGACTAGAGTACACATTGTAATCATATCTTAACTAAATTAAAGCTCCTCTGAGTAAAAAACTTGGGGAAAATATTTGGAAAAGTCACTCGGGTGGAAGGTAGGCCTCAGGATCACAAAGAAGGCTAAAGCGCTCAGCGTGAGAGTAGAACAGTTTGTCATTTTTCCTCAGAAGGAGAGGAAAGAAAAAGAGATGGTGGAAGCTCAGAGGCCACAAGAATACTAGGAATTGCAGACTTTTGGGGGAGGGTTTGGCTTCCTATAACATGAACCTAAAAATTGAAGCCAACTAGTTGTTAAAGAGTCTCTGGATATTCTGCTGACATGAGTCATACACGTGAATATATTGGTTCCCAGGGTGGCTGTATATCTGACTTTATGTTCCAGGATATTAAGAAAATCATCGAGTGAGAGAAGGGGTGGCCTTGTTCAAAAAGAAATTTACTCTTTATCTGCTTATGTGACTGTAACCCCTTTCTGTACATCACCTTTACTATAACAATTTTAAAAAGGAAAAAAAAAAGCATCACCATTACTTACTTTTAAATCTGTTTATCTTTTTGGTATTTTTGAGTCTCATTATGTTGTAGTCAAGCTGCCTCAGAACTCATTACATGGCTCAGGATGACCTCAGACTTGTTACCCTCTCCACCTCAGCCCCCAGGTTGCTGGGATTATAGGTATGCTTCACAATTCTGGCTTAAGTCTTTTTCAGATATAGAGAATTAATGTCATTTTGTCTTAAGTAGTAGGCTAATATAGTAGGCTAATATGGAGAAAAAAATAAGTAGAGATCTTAAAAAAAGATTAACAAAGTAAATAGCATTATATAGAGAGTTGGTAGATATCCTGTTTTCTTAACCAAGAATGGGGAAAAGTCATCTTAAGCAGAGAATCTATTTATACAATAGATTCTGTGAGTACTGAAATGAGTATTACACTTCTGGGATCAAATAAACTACTCCCCAAGTCAGAAAGCACTTTCTCTTAAAGTTTATTGGCAAAATACAGGCACTAGATTAAGTCA